CCCAAAAAAAAAAGACAGGCAGAGGACAAATGACTAGTTAAGTCCAATCCCTGGAGCTAATTCTTCCACATTACTGACTTACATGTCTTGTTTTTCACTCGCTACCGTGTGGCGGCCATCTTTGTAGGGGCAGGGCTTTCTCGTATTTAGAGCTGCGAACAATGAGCAGCACTGTATTGACCAGTGGTCAGCAGCAGAGCCTTAGATCTCACATTTATGATGAACTGCTATGTGGTCATAGACACAGGAGGGTCACACTCGCATATCAGGAAGTGCTGTGCTATTTTTTTCAGGAGAAATTTAAGACAAAAAGCAAATCTTGCAGAACTAAAGTAAAAACATTTTTAGTTTTGCATAGAGTACAGGAGGGTTAAAACCCCCGTTAGCTTTTTTTTTTTGCCATCTGTGCCCCATTGAAGAGATTTCCCTTCACCAGGACACAGATGTTGTTTTAAGGGCTGAATTGTGGGATGTGTAGCGATTGTGGTGGTGGTGGTGTGATTGCTCATGCCTCAGAAGACCAAGTACCAAGTATTTGGAAGACCTGTATCTGCTCTGACAGAGGGACTTTTTTTCCAATTAGAAAACTTCTACAGTCATAGTATAATGTTTACTAGCCATACAGATTTGCTTCATTCCATGCCAGACATAGTTAAACTCTGTGAAAATCACATCATAAGCTGTTTTCTCATACGCAATCATTATATAGCTGATATGAGATTACCACATGTCCCTGCTAGACTGCAACAAGTCTTGTTTCTCGTTCCACATCTGCTGAGATAGCAGCTATGCTAGTGGATCCACTTGCTGGTTTTGCTGTGTACTTGATGTCTGTCTGCTTTTTCCATAAGTAGTTTTTCCAAACAAAACTGAATGCCCTTCCAACCTATGTATTCCAGATTTACCACATAGGTCAGAAACAAGGTCTGATGCACAAACTCAACAACGTCCTTCAGAAAATAACTGAACCCATTCAGCCCAAAGTTGCTAGCCACAGACCCCAAACAGCCAAGCATCTCTCGTATCCTTTCTCCAGGGAAAAACAGCACCTGTAAGTATGCCAAATCTAGTCCAATGTCTTTTTTATGGCTGACATTCCCAATCCCCATGGCTTTAAATTCTTTAGACCTTTTTAATGAGGGATGAAAGAGTTAATTGTCTTAAGAAGGATAGTTAAGATTTAGGTGGACTCTTGTAGGCCAAATCATTAGGAGACGTCTTGTATATTATGGAGATTCTTGCAGTAAGATGTTCTTTCAAGTTTTGACCCTATTTGTGCGTTCTCCATTTTATTTTTTAATTTACCCTTTGTATTCTTTTTACATCATGAAGAATCGTTGTTGTTGTTGTTATTATTTATTATTATTATTAAAGGATAGTTTATGAAGAAAATTATTAAAAGCCAGTATAGGATTCGACCATCCAGCATCCACAACCAACCCCTTAACGTATATCTAAACACAAAAATGTAACATATTGCAGCTTGCTTGTCTTTAGATGTGGTGGCTCCATTTGTTTTCTTTTTCAGGCAAAGTACATTTCCAGAAAAATACCTGTTGATCCTGCCAGAAATCCAGTGTCCTCTTAACTACCTGGGTTTCCCAGCTATCCTCTGCAAACTACAAAGCATGCCATGATATGAAGATGAGGAGAGAAGCAAAGTGCTTGTATTCCAAATAAGGAGTGGGGCCCATGGTGACAACGCTGCTCCTCAGTGAGTGTAGTAAGTGAGCGTTGACATTGGGACATGCAGAACTGGTACTGGCAGGATCTCCAGGTGGAAAATGAAGAAAAGCCTGAAGAAATAAACCTCATGCAGCTATTACATATTAATTACTAAGTACTGTGCTGAGAAAAAATTGTATAGGCTACCATTGCTGGCCAGCTTTTAAAAATGCTAGTTTGTCTGTCTTCAGCTTGAGTACCAGTACTTCTGAGTCAGTGATTTGAAAGCACCTAATCTGCATACCTGTTCCTGGTCAGCGAACATTCTGAAGCCAATGGCTCAGTATGACAAGCAATTTGCGTTTTCAGAAGAACAGGTTAGCAATGGCAGCCTGCATATTTCTGAGCACAGATTTCCTTTAAAGCGGATAGAACCTGAAAATAGTTATTTTAATCTTTCTACTACTGTTTTTATAACTCATCTATAATCTGTATTAACCAACAGGTTCGATATGTCAGACAAAGACTCTTTTTTTGACAGCAAAACAAGAAGTTCAATTGTAAGTGTTAAAGTTACCATGTATCCCTTGCTGATTGGGTGATAATTACTCTCCAATTAGATCTTAACACTTTTTCTATCAGTTTTCTTTTTACCATCTTGCTATTTATACAGTGAGTACTCATCTCACCTGTGGTTTGTATCTTCATTGCCCAGGGGAAGGGCTGCATCCACTCTTATAGGTTACATATGACAGTTTTAATGTCCCAGTCCTGGAGTACACTGCTCTAACCTCCCATAACACCACCATGGTGCAAAGCCACAATCCACCTTCCAAGGATGGACATCTGTTTACATCAGGATGGCAGCACACAAGGCATCTCCTCCAAATGTATCTATATTTAATACTGTAAAGTTCATAAATGCAATACCCACTTACGTGTTTCACTGGGCCTTAGTCATAGCATCAATGCCCAAGTCCACCTTTTTTCCCTTTTGCTACCTATGGTATGTTTTATTTGTATCCTTTTAATTTTTTCAGTTTTACTGTTTTCTTTACCTTTTTTCTTATGAGTCGTCACTTTGCTCTGTCCCTTGAACTGCCTATTTTTCAAATGTTACCAGCTACCCAGGAGTTCTGTAGACTTAGAAGCCCTTAGGGCATCGATGGGAAACTTTGGCCCTCCAGCTGTGCTTTAAACACAAATCCCAACATGCCTCTGGGAATCATGCCAGTAACTGTCAGTCTTACAATACCTCATGGGACTTGTAGTTTCACAACAGCTGAAGGGCCGGTGTTGCCCACCCCTGCTTTACAGTCACATATAGGCTATTCATGCACAACCAGTTTGTTACTCCAATCTTTTTACATAGTGTGTACAGCTTTTAACCAGGACAGGTAGACGCATATGGCAATTTATAACACTTTTTTTTTCCAAACATTATATCCCTTCCCCAACTTTATTAAATATCTTCCCACTGGTGTCGCTGCAAAATCCTCTTGTGCCGATCTGGCAAGTCCATCAGTAAAGAAAATGAATTGGCACACTCTGAGCTGCAACTTCTTTTTTTTTTTTTAATCAGCAGCAAGGTTAAACGGGATCACCTCCTTTAAAAAAACGCTCTCCAGCATGGAACATGTCAGGTGACCCCTGCTACCATGTAAATGAAAAAGAAAAGTTGCTGCACCCAGAGTGCAGGGATTCATTTCCTTTTTCTTTCTACTAAACGTGTTTTTGTTTTTTCTCTGCTCCCATCATAAAGAATTCCCATTATAAAACGTCAATAAAACCCTGAGCAAAGCTATCTAAAACAATGGATATTGCTGGAGTAACAGTAACCCAAGGGTTCCTGGGGTCCTAATCATAGTACAAACAAAAGAAAGAGGGTATCTAGTTTGTTAATGGAAGCACACTTCTCACTCTGGGTGTTCTAGATAAAACCAACAAACCCCAGCTTTAGACGAGCCTTCCTCCTATAGTTCATATTGTCGCTTTTACTCTTACCAGTGACCTAACTGCCATTTTGTTCCCACAGGTGTATGAAATCCTGAAGCGAACAACCTGTACAAAAGCCAAATATAGCATGGGTAAGCACACATGCACGTTTTCTTTTATTTAGCATTCATGGTGAGAAGGTGAATGAGGGCCGAGGTTTGTTTGTTTTTTTTCCATAGAATTGGGACCTACCCAAACTATCCAGTTTAGCCAAACCTCATACTACACGTCTCTTGGTAAATCCAAAAGAGGTATACAGTCAGATTATAATGTCCGTGACGAGGTTTAGGCTTCATATTGATTTTGACTAGGAATGCACCGATACCACTTATTAAGACCGAGTACCGATACTTTTGATCAAGTACTCGCAGATACTAATTACCGATACTTTTTCTTAAAGGGACAGGTCACATTTTTTCTAAAGCAATACAAACTAATGCTTTAAGGTCACTTTCTTAATATTATGATGCCCCATGTCCCTCTGAGTAGTAGTATGAGATCTGGAACAAGTACATTTGAGGCGCTGGATTCATATATTCAGAAGCTCGGTCAGAACGTTACTAAGCATAATGAAAAGCCTGCAATAAGAACTTAATAGAAGCTCCAAGCCCTCCCTGCTCAATCCAATACAAAGAATATATGCAGTTTTCAGTATAGAACGTAAGCACTGTATAAACCACACACATTATGACACGCCCGGACTTTGTTGTGTATGTTACATGCAACAAAAGGTGTGGCGCTCTCTGCTCTCAGTTTAGGTATGTCGTCTTACGTTGTTCATAATCCCTTTTTAGAGGCTCATCAGCAGAACTGCCCTTCATAGAAATGCCCTGAGGAAATGTTTTGTTGAATCACTGCTTCTGGAATTTTCACTGTAGCATATCCCTATTTGAACATGAAGCAGAGGGATTAAATATCTTATTGCCAGTCACTTATTTAGGCTAGTCTGCTTTCTAAGAACAGAGCCTCCGATCAATATTCCCTCCCTAGACTGATGTAATGAAAGCTCAATGTCCCCTATTCATTTTGTTTACAGGTAGATGTTCAGCGTAAACAATCATATGCTGCATACATCATTTATATGTTCTAAAAGATTATTTTATAAAGGAGCTGTGTGTATGCTTAAGAACTGCCAAGAAAGTAGCTATACCAGATATATCATCCCGAGATGTTGTTATTACCAATAAGGGCCAACACTTAAGGTCACAGTATTCTTCAGTAATTAGGATGGTCAGAATCTGTGGATTAGTAACACAAGTTAAAGCGGTTTGAGCCGTGACACAGCGCCATGCTTTTGATCGTAAATTGTGTATTAATACGTTCCTGTGTTCAACCTTATAGTGTAACATGGTACCTCAGCAGTGAGGTAGCAAAAACGGTGTAGAGACATTAATTACTCTTCATGCCTCAGGGCAGGAGCAATCCAACACTGGTATTCTTGCAGGTGGAAGACCCATAGGATGCAAGAATGGTGGCTCTAATCTAATGCATTGACTGAACCTCAAGAATTTTACTGTTCCCACCACCCCAGCCAGGCCCACCACAGCTGCACTTCCATCAGTCAGCTGGTAATGGTGACCGGCTGACAATTCCACAAGAAGCTCAGCTTCTAGGCCAATATTCATTGATCTCAGGAGTATGTAATTGCAATTGGTGGTTCCTTATTTCCTCGACTGGCCAATCGCATATGAGCAATTTTAGAAAGCATTTGCATATGTGGGGGTGGTAAAGACACTAAGACTGTGGTGCCCAATTTGTGGCTCTATGCGGTTTGTGAGGCTTTTGGACCCCAGTAATGGTAGCATTGATTTGTAAAGGGGTAAGAGCAATGGTCTGTACTAGCCTCATGTAAGTCTATCAATGTCCTGTGCAGCATGTGACCAGTCTCCAACCAAACCTGTGGCATGTGCACAGCCTCTGATCATCATTTCCTATAGTATGTCTAAAGTTTTGACAGTCCATTCTAGCATTTCATATACTGAACATTATGTGCGCCCCTTTGTTATCAGAAGACATAGTTGAGGCCTCCTATACCTTGTATGCTGATGTTCACGGCACTAAGCCTCTTGACGTGCATTTTTGTGGCAAATAAATTTTCTGCTACACAATAAAACGTGTTTTGTTTTTTTTTTTAATACTCTGTATAATATGTAGTTAGAGGGGTATAGTCTCAGTTCGTGCATTGCACACTGCTAAAAGCTATTTGTCAGGTAAATATTGCAGAGCATCATCCGTGCAATGAAATGGTTATAAACAATCTGGCAGTGACAGATTTTCTGAGGTACAACCATGGCTGTTGTGTACGGAACAGCTGAGACATGGTGGCTAGCTTCCTTAATCATCCTTCCCCCTAGTCTCCTGTTATTGTAAATATGTAACTGGAGTGAATGTACCATTCTGTCCTAACCGTCATCACTGCCTGGGCCAAATGTAGCCAATTCTCTTGTGTCTCTGAGTTCTAAATAACTAGGGATTTGTTAATGAAACTTGTGCTAAATGCTACATTCTTTCACTTTATTTGGGACTTCACCTACCCCCAGTAATGCATTACTGTCTCAATTCGCATGATACCTCCAAATGTATGCAGGCAATGCTTGAATACAGGGGAACAGTACGCCATTGTATGCCAAGCAAGACCTCCGGAAACTCATTATACATACCACATAATGGGTATTCACCCAATATACAATGCCTGGCCAAAAAAAGTCACCCCCTGGATTTTAGGCAGTTTTATGATCTGGAGTTACTTCAGTTGGTCAGGTCTAGGTTCAGCAACATTATGACCACAGAAAATGAGGTCAGCTGCCTACCTGAATATACTGAATGCCGAGGCTTTTCCTTTAATGGATTTTTTCTGATGGCACATTGGGCATATTCCAAGATGACTGTCAGGATTCACCGGGCTCAAATTGTGAAAGAGTGGTTCAGGGAGCATGAGACCTCATTTTCACACATGGAGAGTCCACACCTTAACCCCATTGAGAATCTTTGGGATGTGCTGGAAAAGACTTTACGCAGTGTTCAGACTCTCCCATCATCACTACAAGATCTTGGTGAAAAATTAATGCAACTTTGGATGGAAATAAATATTATATTGTAAAGGCTTATCAAAACCAGCAGGGAGAGGACATCAAAGTATTGTACTGCAACAGAGAAAGTGGTGCCACCTGCCTGGCTGTGTGACATAGCTGTGTAACTGAATGGATAGAGATGAAAAACCTTTGCCAGGTTAAATTGTACATGGATTTCCTGGGTGTATTTTGATTTTTGTCTGGATTCCAGATTAAACATTTAGATTACATGTTCAGGAACTACTGTAGCTGTTACTCGGCACCTTATTTAATTACAACACTGTGTTTAATTTCTACATTTCTGGGAAAGCAAATTTATTCACTACAAGATGGCTCCTCTGTACCGTACAGCAATGTTTTTTCTGAGACTGGAAGTAAGAAAAGAAATTCTGCTAAACATAGGATAATTATATGGCTTGGTGTGAACAACAAGTCTGTGACAGCCAGGATGTGGCAGCCGGACGTAATGTGCGTCGTCTGCACTATTATATTAATTTAGCTTTAATTATAAACTAAAATCATCGTCTTCAGGGTGGATCTCAACCTGCGTTGATGAGGACCCCAGGAGAAGGGGTATTTTTGAACCCGTACAATGGAATGTACTAAAGATGCAGAAATAACATGGACATCTTTTCTATATCTCGCCTTTTATATAATGTCCTTGTATTTCCTTGCTCTACAGGTATTACCAGCCTACTTGCTAACGGCGTCTACAGTGCTGCATATCCTCTGCACGATGTAAGTATGCATGGCAACTCTACCAATGTTGATAGAGAAGTAGATTTAAATACAGCAGAAATTTCATTTTCACACCTTCTTATGACCACTACAAAATTAGTCAACCAGCACACCCAGCACCCAGTTAAAGTGTGTGCATATGCTACACTTGCCAATTGAGAGTAATGGCCATTTGTCTTTAGCTTGGTGCATAGATCAGGGAAGGCCACTATTGTCTATGGCCCAGCACAAATGCATCATCTAAGCCCAAGCAGATCCTGCAGTGAAAATTATGATTTACTCAAATCTGACTTGCGTACTTCCATTTCCACATTTTGCTGAGATGGTTGACGGGAGGTGGAATCTGAGTTGTGCTTTTAAAGTCATAGTTCCAATGTGTTATATGTCAGTGTAATGTAACGCTGGGTGCTGAGCTAATTGCATGTCGGAATAAAGAAGTTCTATGAGTGATACCTGTGTGTGGACCAGAATCCGATGTGTTATGGCAGCAGGCTGTCATCAAGTACCATGATAAATGGGGGGTTTGGAAGAAATGATGAGTCCCAAGCACTAGAGCTACTATAATCGTGTCCATAAAGGGAAATTAGACTGGCTAATATTTTTTTTATTTTTCAGGGGGACTATGAGAATGATAGTGAACCCAATGACCGGAAGGTATTTGTCTGCGATGCTATTTTATGCCTTTTTTTTTTTTTTTTTTTACCTCCTCCTATACATAAAAAGTGATCAGCTGACTATAAATATTCTTATTAAGCATGTTAAATATTTTAAACACTTTAATTTATAGATGTACATTGGGGCACCCATATCCATTTGCTACATATGCTGACATTCAATAAATACCATATTGTGCCATGCTTACATCAATACTAACAATACCCAGTGAAAAAATAATATAAATATCATAAAAAAGCATGTGATATAAAGTGCATGTTAAACTTGGCTCATATCTGTTAATATCCAATCTGTGCTACTAAAGTGCATCCACCTTAAAGTGCCAATTTCCTAAACGGTAGGGAAATAGAGACTTCAATCAGTCACGCTAAGCATCCAATCATAAATGATATTCAAGCAATCCTCAATGCGTATCCAACTTCAAAAAGTGCAACTTCTGCACTTCTGATTTGACACTTAATGTGACGCAAACACAGGTGGGTCTGTTAAAGCAGAATTAAAGCTAACCAAAAAAATTAGAGACGCTTTCAGCCATAATTTGTTACTATGCACAGCATATTGGTACATTGTGATAGGCTTGCCTGCCAAACCGTTCCCCTCCAGCACTGCGCTCCTCCCTCTCCAGCGCTTCCATCTGACTCAATCCTCTTCCAGGACTCAAGTCCTTTGGCCGCTTGATTGGCTGGGACCTGTCGATGTAACCCCACATGCATGCACATGGGAGTTACTTCATCTCGGCAAGCCAGGTCACATGTGCAACTCGGCATACAGAAAAAAAAAATTGCAGAAAGGGGAAAAAGCTTTTAGGGCAGAAAACACTTACACAGTCCCTGCTGACATAGAAGGCCAGCCAATCTGCTTTTTTTTAACCTTTACTTCCACTTTAAAAGGAGAACACTTTAAAACTGGAAGGAAATATAGCAAAGTCGCATTCAAAAGGTCTTCCTTTTTCTTCCAACAAAATAAATCTGGCCAAACTTCTAAGTTATGGAGTTTTACTTAAAAGAACTCCTGGCACACATTTTATGAACCCTTACACTGAGGCTACCCCTGCACTGCGAGAGTTAAGTGCTCATTTTCGTCTTGGTTAAAAAGAAAAATGATATGCGCCTGATTTTCGGAGCTGGCTTGCTCTTAGAACGGTCCCTTCCACCCCTCTCCCCCTCCATTACAGCGGTCTAAGGTTCTTGAGTCATCACGTTCTATATACAGTCTATAGGACGTGAGGACGCTGAGGGACATGTCATTGCTGCAGCGGAGGAGCAGACGGGTAGGAGGGAGGGCTGTGACAGCTGGCCGGCTCTGAGAAATATAACTTTTTTTGCTTTTTTAGACCAAAAAAGCAATTAACCATTGCAGTGCAGGGGTAGCCCCACTGCAATGGTTAATAACATTTGTGTGCCTAGAGTACTGCTTTTAAGATGTCCATAGTACAGACTTTTTTTTTTTTTTTTTTTTTTTTTTTTTTTTTTTTTTAATGCAAAAATAACTTATCCGAGCCCTAACCATGAAGCCAGTGTGGGTGTGATAGGATTGATGGGAAAATTAAACATTGATACATTAGTGCTAATTAAATGGGTGTTTCCCGGCGGGTTCTGTCAGTGAACCAACAGGAGGTTTCTTGCAGATGTGGTTCATTGTTGCACACTGGCCAACATCCATAAAATGAACTCTGCAGCTGTACGAGTCCCAACCAATGTGACAAGCAGTAAATGTCAGGTTACTTGTGCTAATCAATGCACACCGCTCCATTACCCACTGGAAAGAAGGGATCTACACCCTATACTTTGTTGATGCCCCGGATACTGTACTTCTGGCTGTCAGGATCCAGCTGTGTTTTGTTCCTTCCAAATAGATTCTGTGACAGTACGTTGGGAAGTAGCGAGCTGTTCTGAATATCGCAAATCATTTTATTGTCTCTTTTATGGCAAGTGTCTGAACTGTTTCAATAACAGATATTTAAAGGTGAACTCTAGGCAGAGAACAGTTTGTGTTAATGTATTCCTCAATAATCATACAGGTCGTAATCCATTTTTGCATTCATGGATTGCCTTTGCTAATCCAGATATTGCCTTGTGAAAGCAGCAGTGATATCACTGTGCTCAGGGGAGTCCTTCCACCGGAGGGGTTGCTGCTGGTGCATGGTCTGGGGAGGGAGGTTGTAGTAAAGGGGACTGCTGGCGGTGCATGTTACTGGGAAGGGGGTTGCTGCTGGTGCATGTTTATGGGTGGGGAGTGATGCACAACTCTGGCTCTGTCCTGCCTCCCGCCCAACGTACTGACATCACTGATTGCCAGGAGCTGGGCGGGATGCTGGCCAGAGCGTCACAGGTTGTTGGACGCTCTGGCTGGAAAGGGGGTGGCAGGCACACCTGAAGAATTGCCAAGGGTGTGGCTATCAGCATTGCCACTTTTGATTCATAGGCCTGCAGCTTGTCAGTCAGCACCTGACCACATCTAGTCCCGCCTACTGCTTTCTGGATTGACAGCACTTTCATACAGGAGCCTTTAATTGTATTTTAACTGAACCTGTCAAGAGTGCCTAAAAAGCAATCCATGTCTGTGGAGTTGGGTAGAATATTGAAAACCTCTACAATGGCCACCTTTAAAAGTAGATTTGAAACCGCTTTCCAGAATGTCTGTCTCAAATCTTGATTCATTTAATATTTTAGCTGCTGTGTGATGAGTGGGCCAGTTATGGAGTATTCTACAAGTATCAGCCCATTGACCTGGTCAGGTGAGTCACCTGAAGTATCTTTTGTTTTTTAACATTTTGGTTTAGATTACCATTTTGAAAAGAACAGTTAATTTGACAGTCTTCTTATTGATATCAGGAAATATTATGGTGAGAAGATTGCCCTGTACTTTGCCTGGCTGGGAGTATACACCCAGATGCTTATTCCAGCGTCCATTGTGGGCATCATCGTGTTCCTTTATGGCTGTGCTACTGTAGACCAGGACATCCCAAGGTATGGTGTTGCAGCATGAAGTCCTCTCAAATATATGATGACGCTTGTATATATCTGATCACTTGTACATAGAAAATCCATCTAGATTAATACTGTATATCACAATCAAAAATGAATATGGAGAGCTGGATTAGGCTTGGCTTCAGAATAGGATGTTTAGATGTCCAAGTTATCTTTATAACTCTCCTTTTAAGTAAAGTACCTTTAGTTATTTTCAATGTAATTACATACATTAAAAGATCCCCATTCAAAAATTACATATAATGGTTTTGAGTATGGCTGGATATACTATTGGTACCTGGCTAATGCCCCCCCACCCCACCCCAAACACTACACACAAGATTCAAATGCTGTTACATCTTCACAATCCAATCATTATTGCAGTATTGCTGTGGGTGGGTCAGTGACCAAGTTGTATTACTTAAGTGCAATGGAGAAAAAAAAAGGCCACTGGCCAGGCTGTGCTCACAAGACTGGTTGAACAAAATAACAAATCCTCCGACAGGTAAAACCCGTCCCATATATGTATGTAAATTGTATCTGGCTGGTTGCCTTTTAGAATGTTGAAATGTGCAGCATACTTTTAACAGTTGCAAAAAAAAAGATTTAAAAAAAAAAAGTCACAGAGAAACTTTCTCAATGTAAGCAAAGCTAAGAGAAATGAAAATGTCATATTGACTGGCTCAAAACCAAGCAGGCAAGAGAAAGTTTACAAGAAAGCATCCTTTACTGAAAGGCCCAATTAGAAAAATAATCCAATTGGAGACTGCATACCCAACTGGAGACACGGCTTTAGGCATCCCCCACAATAACTCCAATAATAAACTTATTTTCCATCATCATGACAAGCACAGATTAGACTTGTCTGACAGATCACACATTGTTTAGTATGCTGTACCAAAACCAACAGAGTTGTGCAGCCATTTAGAGATGAGCATGTAGGAGTCCTAGCAGCGTATGGAAGTTTCTTTACATCTGACAGTCATTTGTTTATAATTATTATATTCTAAATTGAACCTGGCTGAGATCCTTAATCCTTTTGTGTAAACTGTGTTTGTTCGGACTTTTCCATCTTCATTATCCTAGCATAGAAATGTGTGACCAACGAATTAACATCACCATGTGCCCCCTGTGTGACAAGACGTGCAACTACTGGAAGATCAGCTCTGCCTGTGCTACAGCTCGAGCCAGCCATCTCTTTGACAACCCAGCCACTGTCTTCTTCTCAGTCTTCATGGCTTTGTGGGGTAAGACCAAGCAGTTTCCTAGCTACCTCCTCTACCATGGACAATAAGTATAAAACCCTGTACTGTTGCTTTCTACATTTTACAGTTCATTTCTGGGCCAAATAGTTAAGGCACATGTCTAACATTTTACAGGAAGGCAGGCATAACAGACAACATAGACATCATGTTGACTTGGTTAATTCAGGAAGCTCTTTGATAACGGGTTGAGGTAGGTCACTGTCCAAAGCCAACTGCTGTTCTATTGAGGACACTACAGCATCCTGTAGGACAGGGGTGGCAAACACAACCATTCATAAAACCATTCATATGTAAATATCGCGGCTCATTCATATGCAAATCGCCTTGTACAGGGGTTGTATTTTTTTTACGTGTGTGTGTGTGTGTGTGTGTGTGTGTGTAGGGGGGGAGTTTGGGGAGTAGAAGTGTAATAGATTAGTCCTATACAACCGGCCCTTTGAGGGTAACCATACTGCTGATGCGGCCCTCGATGAATTTGAGTTTGCCACCCCTGCTGTAGGACATATCTTCATAATGTTGGGTGGTCCCAGGACCATTTTATTAGTTATATTTCCTGTATTAAAGTAATAGAAAGGTTAGACCCTTTTGGGGTGAGTGGACAACCTAGAAAAAAGGAAAGGTTTGTGATCCTGTTGAAGGGGATTGGACAAGGAACTTTCTAAATTTCACTGCATGTCTTAAAGGGTAGCTCCATGCATGTTGTCATATTGGTGAACCGTTAATGCTGTCCTGGAGAAATGCACATGTGCTCTTGTCAAAGTCTGGATAAGTTAGCTAAAATAATCCACTACAGCCAGATAAGTTTTTCAGTGCTTTTGGGCATTCTTACAAGTCTTTTTTCATGAGTCTATACAATCTTCCTTTCCAAGTTCCAATGCATGCCAATAAGGCTGCAGTAGACACAGTGAGTGGACAGTGCTGGAAACATTGAATACACCAGCATGCTATTTCTTAGATATACAGCAATAAAGATAACAATACTGGCAGCTTGCAGGGGCCTTGCTGGAAGGGTGCCTTGTATAACGATCACTGCAGACTTTATCCCCAGCTATAGCGACAGCTGGGTGGAGAGGGGTGCATGTGTCTGCTGCCCCAAATCGGGAACGGTGTTCAGCCAGAGCCGGTGATTGATTCCATGACGAACAACACGTGACTTCCCCCACACACCATGGTCAGAGTTTGGTGTGCCGCCAGAAAAAGCCTGGCGTGATTGTTGTGTTTGGGTGGGGGAGAGAAACATTCACTGCCAGATTACTAGTTGGCATAGGTAAGGAAACAGTAGCATGTTGTCTCAAGTTCTGATACAAGGAAGAGAGAAACCATTTAGCTCAGAGCTTGTAGGCAAAAGATGCACCCCTGCCATGCTCCCCTGTTAAAAATGAGTCTGTAATTGCCACTAGGTTTCCTTCATACCAGCTTTTAAAAGGAGCAAATTCAATAAATCTAGATGTTGAATTAAAGGTTTATGGTTCAACACTTGAGGTTGAATAGTATGATAATAGTGTGAAAATTAAATGGTGTTCTGTACCTTGCATCAAGAGGCAGGATAGAGGGATTTGGTACTACAAGAGGGTCAGTCCCTTCAAATAAGGGATGCTTGGGAGCTTTGGCGTTGTTTCGTTTCCACTTTCCTTTTGCATTCCCTTGTTTTCTTTGGTTGCAGTCGTTCTAATGCTTTTTGAAGATGTTTCTGTTTTTAGGACCACAAATGGGGAAAACCCCCATATATAATGAGTACTTTTATCTTTGGAAATGCTTACTATTGCACTATATAATAGTTCTTAAAGTGGGCCTTTTACCCCCTTGAACTAAAAATCACATCAGCATACAGCTCTGCATGCTGATCTTAAATCATCTTACATTCATTAGCTATAAACAAACCTTTTTTTTATTTTACTTACAATTTATTTTTTCCACTTTGGCACAAATGAGGTAATGTGCCCAAGCATTGCATCCTGGGAAGGTTACATCAGCAGAGCATTGCTGGGAAATCTCATCTGTAATCTCATGAGATCTCAGGGAAAGGCATTTTACTCCCCTGAGACGATGTGCATGGTCACATGTCCTATTCACATGTGCCAGAGTTCAAGGAAGTAAAGGGAGATCTAGTAACCTGCCCTTATTTAAAATGGCCACTGTCTGAAGACTGGGAAAGAAAAGGTATGCAAAAAAAATAAAAAGCTGGCAAACATCTAGAAGTATATGTGTGTAGATTTGTCATTTACAAAGGTGCCTTTGTTGTTGTTTTGAAGATATGGGTAAAGTTCCTCTTTAAGGCCACCCAAAGTGTGGGAAACTTTGGTAACCATTTAAAACTTTGCCTATATACACATCTGTTCGCTAAAACAGATAAGTATTGTAGAACATGAATTGCTGATTCTGGAGAATGTGTTACTGAGAGCCAACAGCATAATGTGTGGGTGGCTTTGTGCTGACCCTGGTATCCCTGATCCCCCTAGGCTCACAGCCCGTGTTGGCTATGCAAGCAAACAGGCCCATATTGAATGGCTAGAATTCCCTGAGTCTTTAGCCTAGTTACTGATGGCTTGCTGACAGTATAACACTTCCACATGCAGGAAACTTCATTCTTGCACCTTGGAGGAAACTTCAACCTTACAGACGTGCATGCATTCATCATTTCAGGGTTACATCATTCTGGGACAAGGCCATTTATTAAGTAATTAGCTGGAGGAAAAATGGTTTTGTCTCCATCTGAGAAAACATCCCAGCTGCACTATGACTTCCGATCGCAGTCTGTTTCTCATGTTCTGAAATTTCTATCTCTTTCCAGGACACTGTCCAGGGAGTATTCTACTGCTCTATCCACTTGTCTTCTCCTGTCCCTCTAGGATTTCGTTTAGTGTTCTTATTTTGGCTTTCCTAGCTTTATTTATATTTTTTGCTTTTATTATGCATGATGAGGATGAAAAAGGCACATCTGTTAGGGTTTAGTTCAGTGAACCTCCAGGGAGCACGGGCTCTCTATGGAATAACCTTTATAACAATTACAGTGTTTGTCATATGGTGCAGTGCTGTTCCCAGACAGAGTTTTTCTATACTTCCTCTGAGAATTTGTAGTGCATGTTAATCCAAAATAGTGTGTATGTATAAATGTATGTTTATGTATATATAGGCGCAGGGGTTGTTTTTTGTTTTTGTTTTTTTTAAATAGAAGTAGTAAACATTGTCAGACCCGTTTTGAGTGAGTACCTTAAAGTGACTCTAAACTAAGGAGTTAAATAATCTAAGAAATACATTCAAGTGCCTCAACTATTAACAAAAATGTATTTTGTGTATCACTCGGCTGCAGATCCTCAAATCATCTCTGAATTGGTGCTGACACTGTCCTTCCTTCTGGAGGTTGGCTACTTTTGTTCCCCATGGTCCCTGTGTGTTGTAAAGTAGTCACCGCTCCAAGCTCGCTCCCTTGATGGACTACAATCTCATATTTAGTTTACTAATTTGTATTGAGATGCATGATTGCAATCCATCAAGGAAGTGAGCTTGGAGCGGTGACTACTTTACAACACACAGGGACCATGGGGAACAAAAGTAGCCAACCTCCAGAAGGAAGGACAGTGTCAGCACCAATTCAGAGATGATTTAAGAATCTACAGCCGAGTGATACACACCCTAATGTTATGAAACGTATCCGCTCATGTATGATCTCTCCCCTCTAATCTTTCTAATGCAATGATATTTCCTACCATCACCATCTGCGTTCTCCTCCGAAAAGTGCACCTGTCAATTGGCTGCCTTGTCTATGAGTACCACAAGGGCCATGTCATGCTAGCAACTTTTGTAGCAAAGATAAGTAGCGGCTACATTTCTTCCTGATTTTTTTTCACTAGCTATTTGTAGCTGGCAACAGATTTGCTCTTGTAGCCAACTTTAAAATGCCGCTATAAATTGCTGGTATGCCATACTCACTAGCAGCTGCATTGAATAACATGATTGGCTACAGAAGCTGGCAATTCTGTATCTAGTAAAAAATGCTGCAAAAAAATGAATTGCTCATTGACAGAGTTACTGACCACTGGAATTGCTGCGACTCAGACCTTTTTACTGGCTGGAATTCAAAGTTCCAGGCAATAAAAATGAGTGATTCAGTGTCTGCTACAAAATTACATGGGAGATGAATGTCCATATGCAACCCACTGTGGCTTGAACTATGCCCATATTGTGCTGTACTTGGGTGGTGTAGGAATCAGCACTGTTACAAAGAGTACGGTCCACAGTGGAGCGGTCAGCATTATGTAGTGTACAGTGGAGCGGTCAAGAGTATGGTGCATCAAGTACAGTGTACAACGAGGCAGTAAGTATTGTACAGTACAGCATTCAGTAGCACAGTCAGGAGTATGTAATGTATTGAACAGTGTGAAGGAGTCAAGAGTAGGTAATGTACAGTACGGCATACAGAGTGGAGTAGTTGGCATGCACGATGGAGCAGTCAGGAGTACGCAACGTACAGTACAAAGAGTGGTCAGCTGCAGGTACCATACAGTGGAGCAGATATATATATATTTAGAGTATGCACAGCACACAGTGGCGTAGTCAGGTGTATATTATGTCCAGTACAGCACACAGAGTTGGAGCAGCCAGGAGTATATATGAGCTGTGCTTTAAATGTCCCTGTTCCACACCATCCTATTTTGTATGCTGTGCTGTACGTTCCCTATTCACACAGCCTCATTCTGTACACTGGGCTTTACATCCCCTATACTTTCCCATTCCATTTTGTGTGCTGTGCTCTACGTATCCTAATTCACAGTGTCCCATTCTGTATGCTTTTTACATTCCCTGTTCGTACTATTAGATTCTGTAAGCTGGGCTGCACGTTCCCTATTCCACACCATCCCATTTTGTACGCTGTGCTGTGTACCTATTCCTATTCCACACCACCTAATCTGTGCCTATTCCACACCACCTAATCTGTGCCTATTGCACACCACCTAATCTGTGCCTATTCCACACCACCTAATCTGTGCCTATTCCACACCACCTAATCTGTGTGTGGTACAGTACATTTCCTATTCCACACTGTACACTGCTTGCTGTGTTTGCATACTGGTAAGGCCCAAGTGTAGACTGCGCTTTCTGTGATAGGGCCACTTTCTAAGGGCTTGTTCACACCAATCGCCTTCCAGGAGCAGAGCAGTTAGACCGGATCAAAAGCAAGCCCTATTTTACCTGCTCTGGAGCGTATCAAAAACGCATTCAAACGCCCTGGAATGCACTGAGAGCCCATTTTACCAAAAACGGCCCGGAACGCATCAAAAATGCAGCAAAAAATGCGGCATAACACACTCACTAGCTAGGTTAAAATGTTGCAACTGGGTCAGCATCCGGCAATTTCCTCTCCCATGGCTAAATTTGAGAGATCTCAATTTCTTATGATGTTGATCAATACTTCAGTCAGCCTGGAGATGTCTGCCCAGGCCACAGACTACCCATAGAAAAAGGGTTCTCTTACAGTCTGATGTTAATGGACTGGATCAGATGACCGCCTCATCTTTAAGTACCCTAATTTGATGATGATGATGATGAAGTAAAGACCAATGTCAACGACAGAGGTTTTTGGAAACGGCAGACTGTTTGGAAATTAGGTCCTAATATACACAAAAGTTCTATAACAAACAATCTGTAAAACGTGTCGTGGTGTGTAGAGGCAGAAACATTTAAAAAAAAAGATAAATCTGAACCTCAGTAAAGTAAAGCTAAACAGTATATCTAAATATAGACCAGGACAAAAATGTGAAGGATGTTGTCCCTTTAAAGTTCTCATTGTTCCGTAGTTAACATGCACGGAGAACAAAGTCTCCACATTCAAGGAAACAGAGACTCTTTAACAAAACATTAATTATGTGTGGATTAGTTACATTTAGAACTCGTCCAGCATCTTGTAAGGTGCCACAAAGTTAAATAAATCCAGATCTGTTTAAATACAGAGTTGTCACTAGTTTGAAGGATGGAGCTGGGAAGTTGTACATTTCCTGAAGTAATTTAGCCTCTTCTCTATTTATGAGCTATTGCACTCCAGAGCCTGGGTTTCTGGTAGTGACAACTGCATCTGTACTTCCAGAGAGCCTGTACCTGCCAAGTACAAACACACCAGGGCTTATTTCAAGAGTCTTACATAACCTCATATTGGATTTATTATGTGGACTCGGCTACTTGCCTCTGCCTTTTGCAGTATGTGCTTTTAAAGCAGTCCTTTACAGAATGGACATGAAGATAAACCTAGAGGTGGCAAACACCTTGTAAACTAGGTAGAGAGATGCACAACATGTGTAGCAAATTACAAAAATATAAATAAAAAAAAGAGTGATTGGACCATGTTTGAATTGTCCATCATCTACTTTAATCATGGAGGAGATTGTGTCTCCTTTTGACGTGTGAAGCAGAGTCCTAACACTATGCGTGTTTGAGAAATCTCTAGTGTACTGGCAAGCTGTTCCAGTGTCACCTCAGGGTGCTTCCGAATAATATGACATGTTTTCAGTGGAATTATTCTGATGTAATCTCATCTTGCGGTTAAGTGTGTGTCATATATACTCAAGCACCTTGCTCTCTGTTGGAAGTGCTCAGACAAGAGTAAACCAGGATAAGGAATACAGGGTCCTTTTATTAAAGTGATATTAAACCTTCATATTTTTTTCTTTTTATAGTGAGTACCAGCGGTACTTGAATTCACTTTTTTTTTTTTTTAAACTTTTTTTCTTCCCCCTGTGTCTAGTTGTCTCCTTACCACAGGCCCTGAGTTCAGGTGTCTCCATCGGCTAGCTGTCTACTGAGGAGACACCTGTGCGTGCGAGTTCATGGCTGTGCCCACACCTAGCTGTGTGGGTCCACAGACACAGCCTTTGGCAAGCTACACCCCCTGCTCCCATAGTCACAGTTTGATTAACGGCACAGGAGCCTATCGCTGCCTTCAGTACCCGCCCACACAACCAGTAAAGTTTGAGGAATGGAGGATATCTTCCCCGGCCACAGGTAATTGTGGGGGGTTACAGAAAGGTACAGAGAATGCATTAGGGTAAAAAACGCCATGCCTTTTAGTACTAAGAGTAAACGTAATCACCTAGTGATATATTCCTTGTCTCTGTATAGTATTAGCTAAGCCCACAGCCTCTACAGCAGTCAGTTCTTTGTGGGCTCAAATAGCTTCAATATTAAAGGGTATCTATGGTCACAAACTAAAAAGAAGCATTGATGTTCTATCCCACTCCTAACGACTATACTGATCTAGAAGCTTAATGCCCATAGGATGGACTTCCTCAATGCACTGACACAATTTCACTCCGCTCTGTAAATATGCACTTCCGTGTGTCATCATTCTCACAGAGCCTGCCTTCTGAACGACAACTCAACGTCTGAACAATGCAACATCATCATTGCTTGCTGTAAGCAATGCATGATGGGTATTGTCTTGAGAAATTGAGATTTCATCATATCAAGCAGCAGGGAAAGAGTTGCAAAGGACTCTGGGAATCCAGTATGTTGTGGAAAGTGATGGGCAGACTGAAGGCAGCACTCACTACATAAAAGGTTTTTTTTTCAAGTATGCTTTGATTGCATTATCAAAAACCGCTCTAGTATGTATTCCTATTACAATGCTGATGTTATGACAGGATAGTATATGCTGGGAATTTACAATGCTTTAAGCTACAATTATGTACTGCTGGCCTCCTGTATTTTTTTGATCTGCCAGTATTTTCTACCAGCAACCAATCAATTGCTACCTTCCTTTTATATTACTGTAATCTTCAGTCAGAATGGAAAAGGGTTCGCTTTTCCATTCCGCCATTTAGTGCCTGGCCTATCTCAAACCTTTCTCCATCATTTTAATTCATTTGAAACATTCTCTGCATTTTGAAACTTTTCTAAGTATAAAGCTGAAGAGACACAGTCCTGCTATTACCAGAATAGATGGAAAATTAGATATTTATTCAAACTGTTAGATTCTTGTTAAGAGTAGAGCTTATATGTGAAGACAGTTTGATTATATAACTATGAGGAAATTGTATGAAAAAAATACTCTCCATAATCTACAGGTGGCAATGAAGGGCTTGATGCTGAACCTGCAAGGGTAGTAAGCTGTAATAAATATCAATATTCTTTCATCAATCTTCAGTAGGTAGATATCTGATTTTGTTTCCTGCATGTTTCAATGCTTTGCATATACAGCACTTGGCCATTGAGCAAGGCTGCAAGTGCCCACCTAGACTGCATCCTAACTTGCTTTAGAATCAGATATCCATATACATAATTAACATGGGGGATATTTTGTCTGGTTCTAGCTGCAACATTCATGGAACACTGGAAGAGAAGACAAATGCGACTGAACTATCGATGGGATCTGACAGGTTTTGAAGAAGAACAAGTGAGTAAGAGGGAAAGAAATCCGGTGTATTTGCAGGGTGTGAGCCAATAGCTGTTTTTAGCGTATTGTACCTTTTTAGTGGCTCTAATGTACCATTTGATGTCCAGTCAGGGGCATTGCTAGGATTGTCAAAGACCTGGGACACCCTTGGTCACCCAAAGACCAAGTCTACTTACTGTATATATGGCACAGATACAGTATGCCACAGAGCGCAAGTGCCAGGAGTATGTAATGCACAAGGCGCAAGAGTCAGGAGTGCATGGATATGCATAACGAACACACTATATTACTCAGGAGTGTGTAATGCACAGGGTTCAGGAGAGCATACCGCAAGGGTCACAAGCATCGGGAGTGCACACACCACAAGGGTCAGAAGTGCATACCATACCAAGCACCAGGTTCAGTAATGCATACCGAGCAGGGGTCAGGAGTGCGTGCGTAAATAATGCAAAACGCGCATGGCTCAGGAATGCATAATGCACAGAGCGCAGGGGTAAGAAGTACGTAAAGCACAGGGGTCAGGAGTATGTAATGCACAGAGTGCAAGGGTCAGGAGTACATAATGCATAAAGCGCAAGACTTAGGAGTGAGTACTGCAAAGAGTGCAGGGCTCATTCTGTAGTCCAAAATAATTACTAGGAGGGCTATATAGACTCCCCAAGAACACAGGCAGAGAGCACAGGGCAGCTCTAAATATTTGAAATAATGGACAGGTTTTGGGGGTTTATTTTGCCTCTTATGGGATAGATAAAAACAAAAGTGGCATACACGGAAAGGTAGCAAATAAGAGAAGTTAATTGCTGGGATTTATATGTGTTTTTAAGGTGTGGATAAACATTGACCTATACCTTCACAGGGTACACAGTGCTTATATTCCATAGTCACATTCCCTCCATAATAAACCAGAATATCCGTGCTTCAAACCAAACACTGCTTCACGTGCCTGAGTCATGCTTTCAGATGTTGTTCTATTCAAAACCTACTTCTCAGAATACAGCAAAACTGATTACACAGTAGAATGTTTACACATCAACTTTTATAATGCTACACCTTGTAATTAAAAACATAAATGACCTAAACTGTAATACTACAGCAGATACATAATGTAAGGTCAGCGTGCGATCATTTAGTTTCTTCTCCTCAAGCAGGTTTGGTTTCATTACAGATTTGTTTTTTCTTTGGGGGGGGCAGAAAATTCCATTTAAATAAGTCTTCTACACACAAAAAGTGACCGTTACAATTTGGCTATAGAGTAATAGGTTTAGGTTTCCAGCAAGGGGAACTCCTTGTTGGTAGTCAGATTATGTTCCTGACACATAATTAGGAGTAAGAATTTAAACTTTTTTATCACCCAAGCATCTATATGCCACGAGAAGACACTCAAGCACCAATATAATGTGGGGAGCAATCACAGTTAGCCAAGAAATTCCAGCTAATGGTTATCCTTCCCCAAGTTCAACCAGCTCCCATCTAAGGCCTTGTTCACAGGCCTTAGTTGTGAGCCACCATTTTGGCGCTGCTGTAAGCGTGTGAGCAGCATGCGTTTATTTGCACTTTTATGCGTGTTGTGCAAATTTTTATGCACGTACATGAAAACGTGCGTTTTGGCTAGCAGCTCATTCAACAGCTGTGTGCAATGGAAGAATGCACGTTTAAACACGCAAAACGATCACAAAAAGTGTGACATGCTTCTGCCGCACGTTTTTGGGCATTTCACTCGAAGTCTATGGGCCAAAAAAAGCGATTTTGACTGCCCACAGAAGCTCATGTACCTTTTCTGGCGTTTGGCTTTTTCCTGCCGGCTTTTTTCTGCTCAGATGTAAACCAGGGCCATTGAAAATCACGGGATTTCTTGTGTTGGGCATTTAAAAGCACTTTTCCAACTGCTCAAAAACTCCTAGGTGGGAACCAGGCCTTAAGGTGCTCATAAGCATTGCAGTCATCTGATATCTATGGGCCCGCCTAGTGTAATGTGTCTAACAGGTTTACAGATCTTTTGTGTCTCTATAGAGTTCCCTTCACCAGATGGACAATGCACCTTGGCGCAGACCCTCAAATAACTCAACTTATGTGTTTTTATGTTTATTAGCTCTTTTACACAACTGACTTCTTGTCATCTGGGTTTAGGTGTTCTTTTCCATTTTTATAAATGTTCTGTCCAACAATTTTGGTGTACAGCAAAGGGTTTGTGTGATAGCAGTGCCCTGATGGATGTCCATTATGTTTCATTGTGGTGTCTATTGCATAATGAGCTGGGTCTTCTTCATCCTATCCTAATCCTCATTAACTAAATATGAATGGAGCAAACTAAACAAAATACTCTGCACCTTTCTGTGTTTTGGGGTCCAGTGGGGCAGAGTTCCTTAACCGGTCATATCTTAGCTGCTGTCCAGGTCCTTGACGGAAGCTGCTTCCCTATGATGGCTGTGTGGGATGAGCTTGGCTTTTCATCTGAGCTACCCTTGTCAACAGTATGTGTGTGTGTTTTCCATACTGTCTTATGAAAAACCCACAGAAGACACAGATTGTGTATCATCTTAACTGACCTGTGCTCCTCTGAGGATATTCACAATGCTTATATTGTAGGGATATAAGCATTGAAAACGGATGTGATAATGTGTAGTAAGTAGGTTCTCTCTAACATTGAAGGTGTTGCCCATGCTAACTGATTAGATTGAAAGTATACAACAAAACATCAGCAAATATCTGCAATACATGCTAATTTCCCCAAGTTTTGTCTCCAGAGGCATCCCCAGGCCTAATGTCACCCACGGACATAATTACACAGTTGTGGGACGTCATCATAATGACATCACGCAAACTTATCTTGGTGATGGATGCTGGCAGCGAGAGGAGTGGACGTTAATCTGGCGGGATAAGATATGCTGCCGGGTCCCCTCCTCTCTCATGCAGTTTTTAGAGGAGGGAGTGATACCAAAATAACTGTCATTTTGGTGTCACCCCATCTGATGGTGTCACCTGGTGCAGGCCGCACCCCGCTTGGGACGTCACTGTTTGTCTCTTTACAAACGCTGAGTTTTTAAAGAGATGCTCAGTAAAAAAGTTCAGTTGAGTCGACCTGAATCCAGTGTGCTTTTAAAGTGTCTATGGCCAAAAAGTTTTAAAAGTTTGAATAGAGTTGTAAAAGCTTAGAACCCCTATCAGGTTTTATTGCTGTTTTTGGGCTCTGTTAATTAGCTTTTTCCTCACTTACTGTTTTTGGGGAGAAGATTTTACCAGACTGGAAGGGAGGACAAATCTGCAAAGAGGAAACAGACAACCATAAAAAGCTGACTGAGGTTCTAGCATTTTCATACTTAACGTGAAGAAAAAGTTAACATCTGTCGGGGGTTGCTGTTGGAGAGCCTCCTTTACTTGCTGTCTGAAAACTTTATACCTGGGACATTAGGGGGAAATCTCTCTAATGGAGTCCCAGACAGCAGTAAAACCAGGGGGTTCTCATCCTTCCCAACTCTATCCAAAATTTGGGCTACAGATGCTCAAATCTTTGAGTTGACAACACTGCTTCTTCTGTACCTGTCCTGAATTTTCAAGCAGTGTGCTCAGTTCTGCCCATTTTGGCTAAGCTGGACAGCAGAACACATCTGTAGTCCAGCAGGGTAAAACTCAGGCAGGGCTGATAACACTACCAGGGACTTCAGTGCAGCAGAGGCAGCTCCAACAGGACATTAGAAAAGCACTGGATTTATGGTAGAAAAATTGGAGGTAAACCTATGCCCAAATCATGCACACTAAAGTATTTACTGAACATATTCTGAACAAACAGTAAAAGCGCTCTAAAACAAGCCATCAGTCATCTCTATCTATAGGCATTGTGGGAAAATAGATAGCAAAGTTCACAACACAGACATTGAAATCTTACCTTCTCTTCTATGGAGAGCAGAATCCTGGCAGCCTGCCAGCCTGGTAGACAACCAGCAGACATGTCTAAGCTCTTAGAACAGGGGTAGGCAACCTCGGAACTCCAGCTGTGCTGGAACTACCCAAGCTCCCATGAGGCATTGCTCTGACAGCCACAGACATGGCTCCCAGAGGTGCAGCCATCATGGGATTTGTTGTTTTAGCACAGCTGGAGTGCCAAGGTCACCTGCTCCTGTGTTAGAATAAACCCAGCTTTATATCCTTTTTGTGATCTTTAAAAATCTTTTGAGAAGGAATAACTTCACATTAAAAACAGCTAGAGAGGTGAGTGAGGGCTTGCTTTTAAAGATTATCTACTTCTCGTTAAGAATATGTAAATAGTTGAATGTCCATAGTCTGGGCAGAGGTGCACTTTAAGAAGACAATACCTGGGGGAATGTAGTGAAGATATGCATTTATTTATTTGGCCTCACATACACTTTAAAGTAGATCTGAACTCAATCAGTGGATATTATACGCTTTAGCATGTTACTGTATCTTCAAAATGTTATACTTGGTGATCCTGCCATAAACGTCTTTGTTCAGGCACTTCCTGTTCTGGTGTGACTGTCTCATTGTGTCCCCCCTGCATTGTCAGTCTGACACATTCACCCCATTGGAAAACTTCAAGCAGTCAGGCAGACACATATTTCTCTGGCATGGTTTACATTCCGTAAACTGGTCTAGAGGGTGCTGGAGTGAATGCATGTCTACAGGAAGTGGGTGAAAGAGGCTGTAGAAGATGAGCCATGCTAAGATGTTACAAAGGATGAAAAAAAGCAGTATTCTATTTTTTTTTTAAATGGCAATTGCTTGATACGCAGTGCTTAAGGTTTCGATCACACCATAGCATATGGATTAGTGTGCCCATAAGACGCACGGGTTGGCATATGTTTTTATATTCAATTTTTCCGTTTTGGAATTCTATGCTTTTACCATGTGCTGCAGCGCACTGCGACATGTGAAGATGCAACCAGCCCTATGTTTTTTTATTTTTTCTCAGCAGACGCTCACATGCATTGGTGTGAACTGACAGCATAGAAAATAAGACTATTTGTCATGTGTTAGGGCTGAGTTGGGCAAAGCTGCCTACTGATACTAATTTGAACAAGCCGCAAATAGGATCCACTTTGGGTTTAGAGCTACTTCAAACTGTCTTTTCTAAAGCAAGTTTTGAATTCATAAAATGTGAAATATTATGGGCATCACTTCCACTTTTATAGAGAACTTCTAAAAAATGTATTTCATTGGGCTATCCCATTTTATTCCCTGAATCTAATCACTGTCGTCATTTTGTCTTGGCATGAATTGAATACCCAAGACACTAATCCTAACCTTTCCCAAAATAATAATAACTTTTTTTTTTTCCTTTTTTGTGTGTGTGCGCGTGTGCTGTTTTCTTGTTTCCTGAAGGGCACGGTCAAGGTTTGAAAACTTATTTATTAATATTACTTTCTATTTTCCTCCTTGAGCAGTGTACTTTGCACCCTTCTTTGAATCACACAAATCGCTTCACGTCCAGCAAAGGACTAATGCCTGTGTTGTCTCTTCCACCCTTTCTGTTTCGTCAACGCACCGAGCAAATGGCTATGCTGCACGTTGTTTTGTTCCTGGAAATGTTCTCGATTTTTGTGCCTGATATTCCTTGTTGCATTGTGCTTGTACCCATCACAAATCACTGTGTATGTTCCTCAGCGCAAAGTGCTAACTGCGCTGTGCCACTTTGTGTGATGATCTGCTACCTGCGCCGACTGAGCCTTGAGATCTCTACTGTATACCCGACAGACAGTCTTATTGGGCTGTGTGTGCTATCTGTACATGTCTTCATCCACCTTTTATCTCCCACAGGACCATCCCAGGGCAGAGTATGAAGCTAAGGTCCTTCAGAAGTCCGTCAAAAAGGAGTACAAACGCAAAGAGGTAATGATAACCATCTATGTTTAACCACAACAAACCTGTATATTTCCCTAGATATACCATAACCGCACAAGATGCTAGTGCTCTCCCTATAAAGAGAAAAATTTAATGCTGCCAGCACTATTGGGAATGTACAACTAATTATAAAACCAAACTGACTTTTAAGGTACCTCCTCATAGTCCACATCTCATTCTTGGATAACAATCCTAAAATCATTAAACAAAAAATTTGTATATACAAGTTGATAGTCTCTCCCTTTTTAGTACATTATGCCTCTGTATGTTCCCATCGGATATCCCTTACAATATTTCAATTTGATATTTCTCAACATATTCCAAGGTGTATCTTCAATAGTATTCACCGAGGTAGGTGATCAGATGGTGCTGTCTCAACGTGTTTCGTGGATGTTTACTCTGCTTCATTAGTTTCTTGAGGCACTATTAGGAATATATAGAACATCTATGAAAAGTGAATTGCACATATAACACTACATATATGGAGCCCCTCTTCTAAATAGTAACCTGACTATTGGGGATGTATGTACAATTGAGTAAAGCTGGGATTTGCTTACATAAAACAGAATAATTTGAGCCAGCTTTTTTTTTTTTTCTGACCAATTTCTATTAAGAGTCATCAATTTTTATTATGATCATTATCCACTACCTAGGTCAGCAAAAACAATTGTATGCATTAAGGGCCTCAATTTTAAGCAATAGTTTTAAGTTTGAGGAGCTGGTGTGTTGCAGCTCTGAATGTTTTAGGGCCCATTCACTACATGTGTTGGACTTCACTGGGCTTTGTTGCTCAATGCATGCCCAACACAAAGACAAGCGGAAATCCGTTGTTTCCAATAAGCCAAGTTCACACTAATGCACTGTGTTGGCGTGCGCTGGATGAAATGGAACATGCTGCAATATAACGCAGCATGTATAAGCATTGCACTGCCCTGTAATGTATGGTAAGGAAAGAAAAATAACTTTGGCTTCTGCTGTGAATGAAACAAATACAACACAAAGCATCAACACACATCTACTTAAGTGCGCACTAAACGCAATGCAAATGGTGCAAGTCCAGCCTTCAGTCTCCAGAGTGCGCTTTAGACTCCAGACTTCTGTCTACTAGTAATTATTGATTCTTACTGACACAAATCCTGCACTGTATTGCTGTGAAAGGTTGCAATTTCAGTGCTATATCAAATTTACAAAGTATTTTAGATCTACTTTTGCTCAGTCCGTTTAGCATTTTAGAGTTGCTGTACCTGTAGGTTTTCCCAAATGTTAACGTATATAGCACTTTAAACTGGCTGTACTTGTATGTAGTCTCTTTGCTCCAAATACTGTAAATCAGTCAGCATAACACTAGACTTGTCAACAGGTCATGATCTGGGGTTTCCCTCTGTGAGAACTGTAGTAATTACTGTCATAATCTGTCAGAGTAATTTAGATTTAATCACCTTTGCAAAATTAGGAAAATCACATAATCTTTGTCTGTGGGGAATGGAATTTTGAAATGCCTGTTCATAGTAGTTGAAGGAGAGACATGACTATGTTTCCAGGCCAGTTGGGATCGTTGATTAACTGCAATGCTTTCCAAATGTTGTGCCTGGCTTTCTATCACTAAAAGCAGGTTGGCATGTCTGAGTTCCCTCAATCATTTTTAAATGAATCCAGGGAGCTTTGCCAAGTTTGGGCAGCACAGCACAATGCTGCATGGAGATAACACTGTATAGCCAAAAGCGTGTGGACACCTAGTCATCACACCTGCAGGAGCTTGTTGGACATTTTATTCTAAAACCATGGGAATTAATATGGAGTTGCCCCCTTTGTGACTATAACGGCCTCCATCCTTCTGGGTTGGAAGAGTTTCCATAATATTTTGTAATGTCTCTGGCAATTAGTGCCCATTCAGCCAAAAGAGCATTTGGGAGATCAGGTACTGATGTTGGATAAGAAGTGTTGCCAATTCATCCCAAAGTGTTCAGTAGGATTGAGCTCAGGACTCTGTGTAGGCCACTTGAGTACCTCAAGCTTCTCAAACTCTTCATAGAGCTGGCTTTGTGCACAGGGGCACAGTCATGCTGGAACAGGAATGAGCCTTCCCCAAACTGTTCTTGTTGGACATCCTATTTTAAAATCATGGACATTAATATGGGGGTGGCTTTGTGACTATAACTGCATCCATTCTTCTTGGAGGCTGTTGCATAATATTTTGTGATGTACCTTCAGCAATTTGGCCCTTTTCAACCAAAACAGCATTTGTGAGTTCAAATACCAAAGTTGGACGAGAAGCCTTCCCAAATTATCCAAAAGTGTTTGGCAGAAATAAAGTCGGGGCTCTTGTTGGACATCTTATTCTAAAACCATGGGCATTGTAATGTAATGTTATAGACAAAGGTGCCCCCCTTTGTCTATAACAGCCTCCACTCTCCAGGGAAGACTTTCCGTAATATTTTGTAATACCTCTTTGGAAATGAATGCCCATTTTGCCGTAAGAACAATTGTGAGACCGAGTACTCATGTTGGACAAGAAGCGTTCCCAATTCGTCCCAAAGTGTTCACTAGGATTGGGGTCAGGACTCTGTGTAGGCCACTTGAGTTTCTTGAACTTGGCAAACTCTTTATGGAGCTGGCTTTTTGCACAGGGGCACAATCTAGCTGAAACAGAAATGGGCCTTCCCCAAACTCTTGCCACAAGGTTGAAAGTGCACAATCCTCTAATAGGTCTTTGTATGATGTAGTATTAACAGCAACCTTCAATGGAAACACCTTAACTCAATAATTTGGAGGAGTGTCCACATACATTTGGACATATAGTGCTGTATAGCCACCTGGATGTTCTAACTTCCTTCACTGCTCTATACATGAGCAGCATATCAGATATCTGAATGAAGTGTTTGTACTACCGATAACAACCACTCTGAAGAAAGGGTCACATTGTTAGACAACACAGAGACTTTTGATATGAGGTCCATGGTATATACCTTTTATTCCACCAGTGATGGTAAAAGTGCATATTGTATGAAACAGTAGTAGGGGGGTTATAATTGTAATTTTGTTTTTCTTTTGTGGAGTAACCTAACCCTGAGTCTATGAGATTACCGCTGTGACCAGGTTAATGCTATATCCATATTAATGCGTTAAGTGCTCCTTGTTTCCAGTGTTTAGATAACCAGAATCCTGAGATAAGTTTGCAAGGATAACAAATATGTACTTGCATGTCTACAGTTGTTAGTGAACTTCTAATCACTGTTAATATGTACAGATGTGTCTGTAGCCTGTTCAGCTTATTTTCCTGTGTAGATTAGAAGCATGTTACTAACATTCACTCAAATGCTAGAGATCTACAATGCAAACTGAAAATATAAAATATATTTGAGATTTTATTGTGAGTTTAACATACTCATTTTTCATGATTTGTAGTGCTTGGTATATCAATAACAACAAATGGTTTGTCTCCTATCAGCAGCTGCCTTTTACTTCTTATTTTATGTGTGACAGACATTGAATGAGTGTGTGTCACTGCCCCTTCCACGGTCACTGGTCTATCTTCGTAAGATACTAGGAGGGGAATTTATCAAAACTGGAACAGACAAAATCTGGAGCAGCTGTGCATTGCAACCAATCAGCTTCTCTCTTTCATTTTCAAATCTTAACTGAACAAACTGAAGGGAGAAGCTGATTGGTTGTCATGCACAGCTGCTCCAGTTTAAGTCTGATCCAGTTTTGATAAATTTCCCCCATAGGTCTTTAGTGTTTTTGATGGCAAAAGCCCACCAGTATCTGGATGTGCACTGCAGGCATGGGCCGCTGAGCACTAGTATCACACACTGAAACTGGCCAATTTACACTAATTGGGGGGGTGGGGGTCATTTGGCCACCTCTATCTCTATGTGATGAACACAGTTGGCTGAAAGGGCAAATAGAAGGGATTGATGAGACAAGTTCATACATACTGTGCAGCCATTGTGAAAGGGAATCTGTATTTTTTTTGAAGGTAAAGTTGTAAATATGATCAGGCTAATGTGAAATATAGAGTGAATGAAAGTCTCCAACCTGGTTTTTACATAGTATATAGACTAGTCACCTTTTCTGGATGAAAGTCCATTGCCATAGTTTGCAGGTAATTACCTATAAGGGTAATTAATTGTCCCTGAAGAGGGGCTCTCCATACCCCCACCACCACCACCATTGCAAAGAGATAAATGCCTATTTTGTCTAGGAGGAATAAGCATCTATACTTACCCTATGCTTTGCTCCAGCAAGCTTCCTTCCTGTATGACCAGTCCCCCAAAGCCACTGCTCCGTTGGTCGAATTTATCACATACAATACAGGACCCGCACTCCAAGGGCCTGTCTACATCCCTGGGTGGAGGAGAGTGCCAGCTGCTGAAGGTAAACATTGCAGCTTATTCCTCTACCCCTAGCTGGCTGGGGATAATTTTTTCAGCTTTAAAGTATATGTAAAACATTTTTACTTGTGTATCCCATTGGGAAGACTTTCCTTCACTTTCTATCCTGCAGACACAACAGGAAGTGAAGTAAATCCAATAGAACAAGTTCATCCAATGTTTCCCCTGATGAAAACCCACAATGTTGGGTTTTCCCCCTTTCAGTCTTGGTTACAGTGGTCACCAGAACAAACAGGATGATTCTTCTGAGCCAGGAGTTCAAAAATGAGTTCTATCCATTCCTTACTCTATACAAAACTAAGAAAAAAGTTTTCTCACTCTAAAGAAAGATATTTTACATTGTAGGTCTTGTTTGTAATATTGTATCTATGATCCAGTTTTATAAAAGATCCACCACCTGTATCCCTGACTTCATGGTGTCTTCCCAGCCTGGACGTGAAGGCGCAGTACACACATGCAACGTTTTTCATTCATTGCCACTGTTTAATAGATGCTTTTTTTAACACTATTGCACGGTCCTTTTTGTTTCCTCCAAATGCCATCAGAAGCATCAGCCTGTTCCTGAAGACAACACAAACAAGTGGAGGCAGAGAGTTAAGACTGCCATGGCTGGGGTGAAATTGGTACATTTTTTTTTTACGCCCAATCTCCAGAAATGGTTTAGCCAAGTGAAAGCTCAATCACTTTGTGGTTTATTTTGTTCAGCAAACTGAGGGGATTATGAAGAGTGTGAAACTTGACATTTCCAGGCTGGAAGCAATCAATATTACACCACCAGTCTGTCTTCCTAGGAATATTGTCCGAAATGATCCCCTCAGGCTGCTATTTATTTTAACATCACTTGAGTTATCCCGTTCTCTTGTCACCACACTCTAGTCTTTGCATGGCACGTGTTCGCTGTGAATGGCTGGGTTTTGCCACACCCGAGTCTTATGTATTTATGCATGCTGCACCTCGTCATAGTTGTATCTTAATTTGTTTTTGTTTTTTATAAAACCAAATAGCCATGAATATTTGCTGTTTGTTAAAGGCCAGGCCAATCCACAGCTGGCATTTCAGTTTTTCGAAGACCTGGAAAATAATGTAATCTCATGCTTTCTTAAAATGAATGTCTGGGCAAAAAATACCTGTTAGTCTGCCAGAAATCCATTAAGCTCTTAACTTCCAGTTTGATCTGACAACACAGTGTCTGTGTGTGCAATGCAGAGTATGCAATGGGAGGGGATTGATCTACACCAAAGTGGGTGGGAATAGAACTAGGAATTAGTGACAAATCTCACCGTGGTAGACCCCAGAAGAATAAGAAGCAAGCAGGGGTCTCATCTCTTCAAATGGCCCATATAACTGAAATATCACTTTTTGCATGGACTGGTCCTTTAAAAATATGTAGAGCTTTCTAGTCAAATATGTACAGTTAAAATATTGTAGTAATTTGTTAATGTAATAAATTATATAATTTGAATTATTATAATTGTATTTAAAGATTTCACCAGTAGACTGTTTTGTTGACTCCACATTTAAAATCCAATTAAATAAAAATGTAAGTGTGTCCTGTTTTACATTACAATAGGCGCAATATAAAATGCAAAGTATAACCTTGAATCCTCACGTTTACTCTAAAATGATAAAAAAAGGACTAAATTGTTGGACTCATTAAAAATGTTAGTACAGTTGACAGCCAAAATGATTCAATAATTGGACCTTAGGAGGCCAGAATGATTTAAAGGAGAATTAGGAGGCGAGTGATTTTCACTCATCCTCATAGTTAAAGCCGACGTGTGACAATTAAACTGTCTCACGTCGGCTCTATAGGTCGGGAAGTGAGCGAACACATACCATCGCGCACTCCCTTTCCGATCATCTCCCCGCAGAGAGCAGTGACTGTCAGTCACTGTTCCCCTCCCCTCTCTGATCCTCCAGCGCTGACTGGAGGACTGGACAGAGGAGGGGGTGGGCACAGCTAGCTCTGCCTCTAGATAGGCAGAGCCCACTGTCAATCAGCTAGCTGGGTGGGTCTCGACAGTATTGTTGGGATACGTCCCGGCTTGCTATATACTGAGCTTTGGGTCACTGGAGGAGGTTAGTATATGTCCTCCCCAGACCCTTAAGAGAACTATGGGGAAAAAAGGTTACCACATAGTTCTTTTTTAATAATTGGGTCTCACAGATTTACATAGTACATCAGCTGGCATAAGCTCTGTTTCTAGTTAACACAATTTAATCAACAACCATAATTCACAATAGTTAGCAAAGGTGCATTTTATGGGCCCCCAAACTTGCATCCAATGCATTTTCATTCACTTAACATGTTTTTCAAAAACGGTGTCTTCATTAGGCATATAATACAAATGGTACCCATTGCTCAAATATTTATACAGAGACTGTTAACCAGCAAGACCATCAAAACAGTCCACAAAAGTAAAGTGTGATTTAAAAAAGCCAATCTATTAGACCCTGCTTACATTTGCAAATGCAGATCTGTCCCTAAATGCAGGTAATCAGTGGATGACCGTTGTCAGTCTGCCATTGCTTTGCACAGGCTTCACGGCCGCAACCATTTGCGATTCCAGCCATAAAAATGAACTGATTCTTGATGCTGGAATTCACAGTGTAGCCCCAATCGCAAGTTTGAATGGGACCTTAACCAAACCCTTTGCAACAATGTTATACTAATGCATCAGATCTACATTCCACATATCCAAGACCTATTCTAAAGGGTGCCATAATTTGCATTAATTGTAGGACTTCCCTTTAGATAGTAATGACGGATCTCTGTGCAAATAGCTAGTACAGATCATCTGAGGAGTTTGATCATTGATCAGTTGACATTGATGCTACATTTGGATGCCTGAAATCCAGTGCTTGAAACATTAGAAGTTAGAAGGCTAATTAGACTGTATATGTGACTATATCATCAGCCAGCCAACATTTGGATTTATTGATTTGGAAGGTTTCAGACAGCCCTGTGAGCGCTCAGTATGCATCAGCTCCTACAAACTTGCAGTGCCTCTCAAGCTGTGAGGTCCATTGGTAAAACTGGTAAAGGCCTTCTTACAAACACCAATCAGCCTATGTCTATGCATACCTTTTTGTTATCATCATAAAAAGTTTACATTGTATAGCTACATCCATACACATTTGTTAAGTAGGGGTGGGTTAAAAACCCATGTCAGTTTATTTTTGCTGCTTATGTTCCATTAGGGAGGTTTCCCACTGCAACAAGTGAGATGAAATTCCCCTCTTAAGGTGCCCATACACTGTACGATTATCGTACGAGAATCGCGTGAAATCCCACGATCGTACGATAATCGCAAAGTGTATGGAAGGCGTGCGACCGTTTCTACTGTACGATCGCACGTCTTCCGTCAAACAAGCAGGCTGGCTTGCAATGATCGCAAGTACGATCTGCCTGTCCAAGATGGGCAGATCGTTCTTTTTTTTTTTTTTTAATTACTTTACAACCCTCGCAAGACAAAAGTCTTGCGAGGGTTGTACAGTGTATGGTCACCTTAAGACAGATGTCATCAGAACAGACGACAATGGGGACCAGTAGATTGACTCTCATTTTAGTGACTGGATTCCCATCACTTTGTCTCACCGGTCACCAGCTGGTGGCAGACCCATGGACAGCAATACAAACTTGACAGTTTGGGAAATCCTTCCCTTCTCTAGGCCAAAAAAAAAATGTTCTGTCCATAGATACATGAAATCTTCTTTAGTGTCCAGTGCAACGTAGGAAGGAATTATACATAAGCAGTGCAGATCAGGTTGAGGCTATTTTGTGATGCTCTACTTGCGGAGCTTTACCTACTAATGCAGCATTTCTCAACCTTTTTTCACGGCATCCTTTGAGAAAATGCAAAATCTCAAGGCACCAAAGTCTAAAATGCAACTGATTTTAAGGGGGACCCCATACAAAAACACACAAAGGGTGTTCCCCCTTTACATCAGAGTATTATCTTGACATCAGAGCCCTTTCACATAATAATCCCCCCTTTCACATTAGAGTCCCCCTTCATATGAGAGCACCCTGCTTTCACATCAGAGTCCTACCATCATAAAATTTCGAGGCACCCCTGAGGAAGCCGGAAGGTTGACAAAGGCTATATTAATGTGACACAAAATAAAAGGCTGAGGGAATTTTAGATTTACTGTATAGTCTGACTTATTTCACAGCAAGATATTGTGTAGAAAAAAAAATATGATTTCCCAGCACAGTTTAGACATTCATTCTTCTAAGGCTGCAATGAGTGGAAGCATGTAGAGAATTTTTATTTTTTGTCAAGCACCACCCCATTCCTTGTACATCACTAAACAGTTCTGTGAATTCCAGACACTGACGTCTGTTTGGCTGTGGGTTCAGTGTAGCTCCATCCGTCTTGTGTGTGTGTGTGTTTTCATGCTGTGATGTCATTCACCCCTATACTCCATCTGCCATGAATCAGTTATGACACTGTTCCCCTTCTGGATTTTAGACCGAAAAGGAGAAGCTGACATGGAAGGACAGAACTCCTGCTTATGTTACAAACTTTGTTGGCATCCTTTTTATGGTAAGTATGTAGTGCATCATTTATTGCTTCTTATGATTTCCAATCCAACTATTAAAATCTTTAAGGAGATCCTCTCATGTCTGAGAACAACCAACGCCAGCTCCTGGAAACAGGAAAGTTAGTATAATCACCTCTATGGCCTCATGTGTCTCCCTACTTCCCTCTGTTCCAGCTATGCAACCTCTATCAGTCTTTTTGCCATTCAACGCTTCCAGGACTGTTGGATGCCTCTGTCCCTCACAGAGGTTCCTTCCTCTGACCCCTATATCATTAGTTAGTCATGATACATAGTTATCATTAGCAATTGTATGCACCCATGCATGTACTTACCACCCATGTACAATGCCATGTGATTATATAAATTACACACACTTTTTTTTATTCTTATTTTGAATAATCTGATTCTTTTCAATTTTTTTTTGTAAGGATAGTACATTTTATGTGTAAAATATATGCTTTTCTCACTAGATCGGTATGACCTTTGCTATTGTGTTTGGCGTCATTGTATATCGGGTCTCTACTGCAGCAGCATTAGCAATGAGCTCCAACCCATCCGCGCGTGCCAATGTCCGAGTAACTGTTACAGCAACAGCAGTTATCATTAATCTGGTGGTGATTCTGATCCTGGATGAAGTGTATGGTTGTATAGCACGATGGCTCACCCAGATTGGTATGTCATGTCCTTTTTGCTTTTCTCCATTGTGTGACTTATGGATGGTCACAGAACTGTGTGATTTGGCTGTTCTTAAATATTTGTAGTATAAATGGTTGTGGAAAACTGGATGATGAACAGAGTTCCCTGCTGAGATTAGTGCTAACCGTTGGTTGTTGACTTTTCTATTTACTTTGTATAGAGGTCCCAAAAACGGACAAGACTTTTGAAGAACGGTTAATATTCAAGGCTTTCCTGCTGAAGTTTGTCAATGCCTATACACCAATCTTTTATGTTGCCTTCTTCAAGGGTCGGTAAGCAGATCTTTGGATGCATTATTGTCTAATGAATATTATAATATGTAATGGCTCTGTTTTGTGCCTGGGCGAAAAAAAAAAAACCTTCACACGCTCTAATATTTCGTTGGACCACCTTTTTAGCTTTGATTACGGCACAAACTCACTGTGGCATCCTTTTCTATAAGCTTGTGCAATGTCGCAACATTTATTTCCATCCAGAGTTGCATTCGTTTTTCAACAAGATCTTGTAGTTGTGATGGGAGAGTCGGACCACTGCGTAAAGTCTTCTCAATGGGGTTTAAGTTCTGGACTCTGTGGTGGTCAATCCCTGTGTGAAAGTGATGTCTCATGCTCCCTAATTTGAGCCCAATAAATCCTGGCATTGTCACCTTGGTATATGCCCATGCCATCAGGGAAGAGAAAAATTAGAAGCTACTCACTGCATCAGTTAGGGTTTAATAACTTGTTGCCAGATGAAATATATCATCTGGCAATCTGGATAATATATATCCAAATATTGTCCTTTTTGCTTTTTTTTTCTGTTGTACACTTACCAGGGCCTATCTGAATTTCCTACCCTGACTTCTCTGGAGAAAGGGAGATGAGCATTGATCTGCAGAAGCATTCCATATCTGCAAATCTCCAAATGTTATTTTTTTTAAATGCTTGCAATGTACAGTACAATGAACAGATATGTTGACCCTTATGCTGTCGAACTCCTGCAAGACATGCTCCAAACCGTTGCATCACGTGCAAATATCAGCCTGTGTATGGACACCCATATGATTTGGGTCATACAACTGACTGCTACAAATAACCTCAGGACACTAGTTGATGGGATCTCTGTTGACAGACTTGGAAAGTATTGGCTCATAATTTCAGCCTAAGAAATTTTGATAGGATACAATCAGTTATTGGTGTCGGGGCTCACGATTCCTCTGACTAATAGACTATGGTATTTGAGGTGTGGTGAAGGTACATAATGTAGACTTATGTGTACTTTAAAATCATATTAAAGTCAAAAGGTTTTTAAGCCATTTCAATCTTTTTTTTTTTTTCTTTTCATTAAATCACTTACTGATGCTGTTCCTTGATGATTTAAAGTTTTAGCCTCTGGCACAATCAGCTGATCCCTTGAGCACTTGTCCTGACAGCCTATGGAGCCACCCTTGTGTGTACTGGAAAGCAAACGTTTGAGTTTAAAGTGATATTAAACCTTCCTTTTTTAAAATTTGTATTATATTTGCTATAAGGAGACCCACCTTTTGCCTGAGGTTGTTCTTTTTCTTTAAAAGTTTTAAATTGCTCGTTTTCAAGTGGGTCCCTGCAGCTCTCTTCCTCCCGCCCCCTGCACAGGTGCCTACATCGGCTAATGGAGCCTGCAGTGGCTGTGTGCGTCTATAGACATACACAGCCCTTACCGGGCCAGGAGGTACAGGGAACGAAGGATCACTTCGGGACCGGCGTCGGGGATGGGCATCGCTGATAGGTAAGTGGAGGGAGGAAAAGGTTCTGTGCGGTTTTTACCCGAATGCAGAGAATGTATCAAGGTAAACACCCCAAGACCTTAATACTACTTTAAGCAGATACAACAACAATTGCCCACTAGTTCTTTTGAAGTAGTGGGCATTGCTTGCAGTCTGTAACTTACAAAGAGATCTCCAACTCCCATTGACTGTCAACTGACTAGAGGACATATCTAAGTTTTTCTAGATAGCCAAGCAGCCCAAGTAAAATTGTATTTTTGCTTTTTAGGTTTATTGGACGGCCAGGTGATTATGTCTACATTTTTGGCTCGTTCAGAATGGAAGAGGTACGTATCTCCTGAGGACTGGAAGTATGAATTGTAAAATGGTATTAGCTGTGCAGTTTATTGTAAGGTATGCTGAATGCTGGAGTGGAATAAGTCTAGGAGGTAGATGCCGCTGTCTTGGTGAAGGGATGTCGGCTAAGTCCTGCTCTGATGGCAATTCTGCAGAAGATGCTAAGTTAATTTCTCTTCTATGTCCTCTGCAGTGTGCCCCTGGTGGCTGTTTAATGGAATTGTGCATCCAGCTGAGTATCATCATGCTGGGGAAACAGCTGATTCAGAACAATCTCTTTGAGATAGGAATCCCGTAAGTCTCCCTTTCATCTTTAATCAGTAAATGTTAGAAGCATACACTCTGTATAATCTGACATGTCCTTTAACATATACACTTTTTGACTTGCTAGGAAGATGAAGAAGCTGATCAGGTACTTGAAATCAAGACGAGAAAAATACATGGACCACGAGGAGCATGTCAAGAGGAAACAGCGTTATGAACTGGATTATAATCTGGAACCTTTTGCAGGACTCACCCCAGAGTACATGGAAATGAGTATGTGCAATGGTGCCCGGGAGTCTTAATGTTTTCTATGGATAGACATGAAAAATAGATTATAGATAGAGGAACAAACTGGATCAGGGGGATTTTCATACCTAATGCAACTAAATGATATAAATCATATTCTATCATCTTTTAAGATTATCAACTTTCAGCTAAATGTTTACCAGTACTGCCCTTTATAATTCTTTAGACATAAGATACATTTGAGGATTGCTGCCCAAGCCTTGGAGGTATAAGCAGATACCCCAGCCATTTATCAGGAACTACCAGTTGGCCTACTAACATTTTTTCCGAAGGTGACTGTTGTGTGAACAGTAACAAAATCAATGCAGTGGGTGGTCTGTCTGGTCCCTATAGAGTGTTGTTGTGGATGGTCTACATTCTGGGCATCGATTGTATGCTGCCTGTGGTGCTGGTGCATTGCACATACACTGCTGGCACCTGTAATATGGCAAGAGTAGGAGCTCAGTGCCCTGATAATGTAACTCCAGCGTGCATGTGAGAAGTTGCATCATCAGTGGACACACAATGGCTGGAAAAAAAAGACACCAGACCTGAAGAGATATCTGAGAAGATGGCAGTGGTAACAATAGCAAAAGCAAGCAATGGTTTGTAAGACACTCTAACTTCTCCATAAGGTAACACAAAGGATTAGATGGAAAATTCAGCAGCTCGTTTGACTCTCACAATATCCTTAGCAGAGAGGGAAAGGCAGGAACTAGGATGGGCTATTACCAGAGTCACTGCAAGATATAAGAAGCTAATGAGCGATTTAACCCCCTTCCACAGCAGTTTTGGTGAACTTTGCTTTTAAATAATTGATATTTTGTTATATGCTTTATTTTCTGTGTATACAAGTGTATGCTTTTCTTTGTCTGTGATATTTATGTGGATGTTTCTGTTGCAGTCATCCAGTTTGGATTTGTCACTCTGTTTGTCGCCTCGTTCCCACTGGCTCCTCTGTTTGCCTTACTCAACAACATAATTGAGATCCGTCTGGATGCCAAGAAATTTATTACGGAACTCAGGAGGCCTGTGGCGGTCAGAGGAAAGGATATAGGTAAGGGACAAAAGGCTTTATGAATCAACATGCTTGTAAAAAGTGCTTTTTTTCAATATATATCTCTACAGGTTCATCTACCTTACCAACCATTCATTGTCCGCTGCTCCTCTCTGCCAATCTCTCCACTGGCTCCCATTTGCCAAATGAATACATTTCAAAATACTAACATTACCATACAAAGCCATCTACAACTTTGCCCCTAGCTACAAAACCAAGCTAATCTCAAAATATCACCCAAACCATCCTCTCCTCAAGCACAACTACTCTCTAGCTACCTCATTACCTCCTCCATAACTTCTCCCATCGCCATACCCCAATCTATCTGCTGCCCTCCTACTCTGTCTAGCTTTAGGTGATCCTTAAACTCATATCAGGGAAGCCTATCCCATCATAACATAACTGTACTTTTGCTTCTTCCATCAGCTCATCCCCTCACAATGAATGCCTTTTCGTATCGCTTGACCCTCTAACTAGATTGTGAGCTGTCATGAGCAGGGCCCTCCTAACCATCCTGTATTGAATTGTATTGTAACTGTGCGGTCTCCCTTCATTTTGTAAGGTACTGCACAAACTGTTGGTGCTATATAAATCCTGTATAATAATACTTATACAGGTACCAATCGCATTCAAATGTAGCCTGGGAAATGACAAAATTGTGTCTGATTGGTGGCTGGATGCCCATGACATCCATGAAGAGGCCCCAACTGACCATTCAGACCATGGACATGGGCAGTAATGCCAGAAGTCCTCCTTCTACTGCAGAACCTCAGAGATGAATCTGGTTTTCTGCTCGCTCCTTTGTCCTCACACTAGCCTGCATGTCTTTTAATCCTGGCGTATGTAAGAACAAATCCTGACGACATCCACTCCACCAACAATATTAATGCATGACAGTTTAAGAACGCTGCGGTAAACTGTGATGTAAAATAGGATGAGAAAGGACATTGTAAACCAAGACTGCAATAAGAAACCATAAATCCACATACTAGTTCTAAAGCCTGCCTGTGACTAACCTTAAAACTATTCCATGGCCTGGGCATGTGCTGCATGTATTCTGTACCAGATTGCAGTGTACAAATTATAAACATCCAGGTATCATGGCAATTTCAATCAGACATGTTACAAAATGATTAGATTCATAAGGACACTCGTAAATACCTTTAAAAATTAGAAATTGCTTTTGGGCTAATGCCAACTTGATAAACTGTCTGCAATGAATGCCTCGCCCAGTGGGTTACTGCAGTGTATATTCACCTTTGCAAGTTGCAGAGAATTTAAACAAAATGTATTTGCATGACATACTGGTACATTTAATTCAGACATTCAGGGCCTATTCCCACCGGTGCACTGCATTGGCGTGCTGCGGTGCCATTCATTGTAAAAAAACAAACCACCCCAACACATGTTTAAAACACGTATGCCCTACAACGTACATTGTTGAATTTACAGGCTACAGATAAGGCCCTGTTCATGTCTTCTCGTCTATTCTTCGCTGCTCTGTTGAATAAAGCCTTGTTTACAAATCTCAGCAGCTCAAGCTCAAATTTACAAACACAGATGAATGAGTCAGAGTAGTGCCCCCTCCGCCTCCCACCGGATAAGGCCGGCTGTATCAGAGAATGGAAGAGGTATAATATTTACCTCCCTGACGGCCTGTGTCTCCTAGCTTCTTCTCTGTTCAATTGCTGCAGCCTCTGGTCGGGCTCCTCTCAGCATTTAACATTTCTGGAAGTGTTGGATGTCTGTCACCCTCTGTGTGCTATGGTTCAGTTCTCCATCCCCTATATAACTACAGGATAGAGCAATGTTGTAGAAGTCAGAGGAAGGAACCACAGAGCACCAGGGCGAAAATACATTTAATACTTTGCGTAGTGTCAAATGCTGAAGAATCTGGAGTTTGCAGCTGTGGATTGGAATGAAGGGGAGAGACCTGGGCTGCCGGAGAGCATATGATATCTCTTCTATAACATGGAACACCTTTTGGCAATTTTGGCGTGGTTCAGCATTCTCTTTATAGAAGAACTCAGGGAAAAAATTAAGACACCCCCACAGATATTCTAAACATTCTCAGTTCTAATAAAAGTGCCATATTTACAAATTGCCTTTAGCAACCTGAAGAATATGAAAAAAGTGGATAGAGAAAGTAAGATGCTTATAATCATGTACAAAAAAAACCCTGAAATGTATTTAATTTAAAATAAATGTACACAATATGAAATGAGATGACCACCTGCTTTTCATATAGTTGTGTGATACTGCCCCTTATTTATTTATTCATGAAACTCTACTCTATTGGCCCTCTGACAATGACTAAGGTTGAATGTTGGGCACAAAAACTTTTATTTAACCCTTTCGCTGCCAAGGACGTATGGCATACGGACCTACAAAAGTGCTTCCAGCTGGCCAGGTCAGTATGCCATACGGACCTGGCATTTACAGTTCTACTATAAGCTGATGGTCGCTTTAGCGACCATCAGCTTATAGTATAACTGTTCAGCAGACTGTCCCCTTTAAATTAATAGCTGTCATCAGCGGCTCACAAGCCGCTGATGACTGCTATTATCATTTTTATCGGTTTAATATTAATTTGAGAAACATTTGCGCAATTATCGCAGGGCCTACAAATTTAGTATCACCATCTTTTTATTCTACCGGGCCTGCGCTTTCAGAAAATATATGGTTTGGGGGGTCTTTTACAAACGCTAGCAACGCAGCAGTTGAAAATCAAATCAATAGGAAAAAATTGCAGAAAATTCAAAAATGGCTTGGCCAGCTGATTTGAAAAATGTTCCGGAGGGCTTGGCAGCGAAAGGGTTAAATGCATTGCTCCACAACGGATCTAAATCTACTTTGTGCACCAAATGCTTTTGCAAACAAATGTATTGCCTTGTAAATGTGGTAGTGACATCATCACTGTTCTGTACATAGCCTGTGCAGAGAGCAGAGTTGTAGAAGGGGCCCAACAGGCCCCACCCACTACAGGCTGCCTGCAGAAAACTACAGGAGGGGGCGGAGATAAGACCAGTCGCCCTGCACAAGGAGAGAGAGCAGCAGTGAGTTGTCTTTGTCACAGGAAGCTCCAAGTTTCACACTGGATTACTGCACAGATCTGGAAGAAATGCACAAAGCTTATGAAGATTGCCATAAGAATACACTTGACTCTTGTATTTTGACAATATTTGCTTTTCCCGGAGTTCTGTTTTAAACTTTGCTGCCAGCGCTAGAGGAATGAATGTGTAAAATCTGTTCAGTAGTGTTTTACAGGCGTATCCCAGGATGTGTTACTTCAATGCTGTTTAGCAAGTGAGGCCGCTGTGAAGTATATTCCGTGTGTATAGGAGAGACCAGCTGGAGATTGTAAATGGAGGTTTATGGGATAATGTTCTCTGTCACTTGCATCTTTGGCTGTGCCTGTGACATGGAATAAACCGTACGAGGCACTTTACATAACTTGCAACCTTGTCTATTAATAAACTGTAACATTATCGCGAAGGATCTCATTCTGCAAGTTAAACATTGTTTCTCAGGGACCTACCCTGTTTTCATCAGAAGTATTACACGGATCTTCAATTAACCCCTGTTGTACAGGGCCTTGTAATACAATAATGGTTTAATCAGAGGACCTAAAAGGCTAGTTTACAAGCATGACACTGGTAACCATTGTGTTTCTGCATGAAATACTGACAATGTTCAATAGAAACGGTTCTAAATATAATTTCCAATATCAAAAATCTGACTCTATCGTGGAGCTTGTTCTTGAATTTTCCAAATGTGTATTTGACTATGATAGGGCTATTAAACTTCAAGTTCCTCAGGGGTGGGCAACTCTGGCCCTCCAGCTGTTGTGGAACTACAAGTCCCATGAGGCATTGCAAGACTGACACAAGCATGACTCCGAAAGGCAGAGGCATGATGTAGTTAAAGCACAGCTGGAGGGGCCGGAGTTGCCCACCCCTTGCTCTAGGGCAGTGGTGGCGAACCTTGGCACTCCAGCTGTGCCAAAACTACAAATCCCAACATGCATCTCCTCATGGGAATTGTCTGTGGCTGGGAGTTATGTCTGTGGCTGTCGGAGCCTTGCACTGCCTCATGGGAATTGTAGTTCCAAAACAGCTGGAGTGCCAAGGTTAGCCACCACAGCTCTAGGGAGTAAATGAATGTCAATGGTTTCAAATCTTGTGGGGGGGGGGGGGCAGGGGGGCTTGTGATGTGGCCACGTTTGGATACATTGTCCAAAAGGTCAACTTTAGCCATTAAAGTCATACTGCTACCTAATAGGACAGTTGATAATGATGGTTCTTAGTCTGGTGAAGGAGTCATATTTGGAAATCCATTGGCCGTTTGTAAATGTAAAAAAGGTTAGGAATCCCTGCTGTAGAACCCTGCGCAGGGTCAAAGCTATACATACAATACATGACAACAGGTTTGTGATCATGTTTTATGCTTCTGGCTAGTATTATGATGGACTACAACCTCAATACAAACTAGTAGTCCTATCACTGGAGCCATTGTTTAAACTTTATTTTAATTTTTATCCGATTAACCGATTAATCGAACCTAATAATCGGCTAACTAATCGATTTTGAAAATAATCGTTAGCTGCAGCTCTATTACAATATTTTCTCTTATTTTGTCTCTTTGCAGGTATCTGGTATAATATTCTACGAGGTATTGGGAAGCTTGCAGTGATAATAAATGTGAGTTGCTTTACTATGCAGGTCACTGTGATCATATACTTTCATGTGTTTTATTTTGCAAATCATTCATGCTGCATAATTGTCTGCAAATATATGTTGGTGCATAATCTGAGAGTCAAGCATACCAACGTAACCAGAATTTCCAGCTCTATACCTCTCTGCTGTTTCGCTGGTTGGGTTGATTGCTGTTTTGCATCCTCTAATTTTTCTCTTTCAAAATGTTTCTATGCCTGGGGATTCTTGGTGTAGGTGAGCAATGTTTGAATGCAACTGACCAACCCAGATCTGCCAATCAGAAAAGTCATATGATGGTTGGATTAGCATTGTATAAGGTACTCATTTCCCCACTTCTGTTGTTCCTACCAGAGTTGGGCACAACTGCTTAATGCCTTTGTTAGAATCCACACTTTGCTCATGTATTGCCTTCTTTAAGGGCTATTGGCTTTCCATAGTGACCAAGCTTATTCCCTCTTCTAATTTTCCAATGCATACTGGGAAAATATTAGCTAATTATTGGCTGACCATTTTACATGTGACTCTTCATTTCGGGCTCATTCAAATATGATCAAGAGCCAAACATAGGACAGTCACGTTTTCAGAATTAATGTGTCGAGTGGATTGAGTGTAAATATCAACGGTTTCAGGTACATGCTTCTAATCGTATAAATATTGACTTAAGCCTTTACTATTAGAACACCTAGTGGTGTCTTAAGTCAGTCTACGTGTACTCTATCTTGCAAAGGTCTCCTTTTCTCTAGACGTCAGAAATATCCTTACATCGCTTTTATGTGTTCATATTACAGATCATTTCAAAGCCAACATACCATCTGTGCTGCTAAATTCTTCCCTCTGATATACTGCTTCAGGTCCTGTACGCTGTCTTACAGCTACATGTTAACAGTTTTTAGAATGCACCTACCACTTGGGTTGAGGCAGCCATTTTGTAAGTGGAGCCACTTATAGGGAATAAGAGTACATGTAATGCTTTATGTCTTTTTATATTATTGGTTCATTGGTTAAACTGGCAGTAGCTGGTTCTTGTTGTATGGTTATGCTGGCTACTCTGATTCCAGTTGTCATGGGGTTTGGCAGACCCTCTTTGTTACCAGGAGTCAGCAGGCAGGATCTTGGAGAGATGTAAATCCTTACTCAGGCAAAGAAACAGCAGACAACCAGGCACAGTAGCAAATCAAGAAGCAAAAGTATAGTCTGACAGGCAAGAGGTTAGGGCAGGTGGCAGAAGTATATTCAGACAGGCTAGGGGTCAAGGCAGGCAGCAGACATAAGCGTAATCCATAGTACAGGCCAAGGTAAGAATCCAAAAACAAATTGGGTAGTCTGGGAGACTTAAGGTGGACATGCACTTCCAAAATGTTGTATAATTTTGCTTGACGTTTGTTGAATTTTGTCAAATGGAGGGGTGCCAACAGGGCCGCACACTGCTAAAATCTGAGCCAAGTCAGCAGAACCGAAATTGGAGCAGTGTACACCCCAATTGCACCCCGCCTTTCAACAAAATTCAATGAAATTTCAGCACAATTCTGTGCAATTCGAGCAGTGTGTGTCCCTGCCAGCCCCATCTGTTCTTCAAAAGTAAATTTTTCAATTGACTTTTGTTGGATGCAGTTTCAATATTTGTCGTCCAAGCAGTGACTGCAGGCACCGGCTATCAGAATAAAATAGCCCTGAAGGGATGATTCCCCCATCCACAAACTGGTCCAGAAAAAACAGTAAGCATGTGGCTGGCTGTAATCAAACTGAACCTGCTGATCAGGCCCAGGGTGGCAATTCAAAGTTCCCTAAATAAGTACTCAGCAGGCTCCGTACTGCAGTGTCAGCTGCAGCATGGCCTTGCTGCAGTGCACAGTAGTCACCAGCAGATTGCAAAGCCTTGCAAACATTTTTCAACATCAATTGAAGTCATTAGGTAACCAATGTCACCAATGCTGTGTTCTGGTACTTCAGCAGCAGAAGATTATGGTGAAACAATACCTAGGTCCCAAAGCAGGATGAGACCTGAGTTGTCATCCTTAATGTATCTGAGAGAAGTCCATGAGCTACATTAAGCAATCAGTCATGTCAGAGTTTTTTTGCCAATTAGAATGGTTTTCCCCAGGATCTTTGAATTAAAAAAAATTAAAGTTTTGCCATTTTATCCTGTGACTGTACATCTAACCATCCATTGATTTTAACACATCTCATGTTTGTTACTGCTCAGGCCTTTGTGATCTCATTCACCTCCGACTTCATTCCACGCCTCGTGTACCTGTATATGTACAGTCCAGATGGCACTATGCATGGCTTTCTGAACAATACTCTCGCCTACTTTAATGTCAGTGACTTTAAATCTGGCACCGGGCCCAACATTGAGAATGAGCTGGGATACTCTGTGGAGATATGCAGGTAGAGACTATATGGGTTATGCATAGGTTCTCCCTTCCTGAATTGGCTGCTAGCTTTGGAAATAAAGAATATGTTGTAATTTATTATTTTTTTTCCCCTACAGATACAAAGATTACCGGGAGCCTCCGTGGTCTGAAAACAAATATGACATTACAAAGGAATACTGGGCTGTTCTGGCTGCAAGATTGGCGTTTGTCATTGTTTTCCAGGTATCTGCTGTTAAGAAAATGTTCATGCTGATGATAGAAATGGCAGATATTCCTCAGGCTTAGCGGTAGAATTCAAATACCCACTTCACACTTTCACTATGGTTTTACTTATGTTCAGATAAAAATTTGATACATACAGTTCTTGAACAATGCCGGTTATTTTCGGCAATGAGCTGAAATTAACAGTTGCATTGCTGAAAATATTTATGGTAGGTAATGCATGCATTGCAGCTTATCAAATTGAGCTCCCCCTTCTCTTACTATAATTTTGCCATTTACACAACTGTCAATCACTGTTTATTTACTGCTAGCTTTGTAAACAGGGAATCACAAGCACATATTGGGCCATAATAATAAAACAGAACTGCAGCTATTTTGGAGTAAAATGCCTATCCACCCCAACCCACGAAGCCCACCAAAACCACACCACCACCTTTTTTCCGGCAGTCTTTTTGCTGGTCCAGCGACGTCATGGATCCTTTTTTCTTTCTTGCCAGCGGCAAACATTCTCCTCACTCATCCTTAAATGAAAGCCGCTCAGTCCTGGAATACTGCGAGCCCAAGCTGCGGTAAGGTTTTGTCCCCGGTGGATGTGTCAGTGACAGGCACTTTGCATTAAAGGGTTTCTAAACCCTCCGTTTTTGTTGCATATTTCTACTGCTAGCAAGCAATAGAAATATGCAAAAAGTTTAAAATAACAAAAAAAAGCTTTAAAAGCGGTTTAAACTTACCCGTCTTTGCCGCGCGCTCCCGTCCGATAATCCGAAACTGCTCGGGCGGCCACAAAGGATCTTGGGGGGGCGCATGCGCAGTTCGGATTTTCGGCCATGAGACAAGGAGAGACGCAAGGTAAGTCTATGGACAGCGTGCACCCGCATGCAGACAACGTGGGACAGGAAGTGCCAGCAAGGACAGAGGAGTCGGCGCTGGATCGGAGACCCACAGCAGCGCTGGAGAGAAAGCTGAAAAGGACAGGAAAGAAGAGGAAGATCGGATTAAGAGACATCATTTAAAGTAAGTTTTGTAATTAACATTGGGGGAGGGAAAACATTTTTGACTTTAATGTCACTTTAAGTGTATTTGCTATGCAGCATGTACATTCATAAATAGATGTACTTAATCACCTATTGGAATGCCGATGTCCATGCTTTTGTTCAAATGGCAGGCAGGGCTCACAAGAAATGGGCAGAATGATGTGACTGTGATTCTGCTTAGAGAGGACTGACTGGACAATGGAACTAGAGATAGTGCTTTGGCATTGAGAGTGTAACATTTGGTCACTTTATTATTTTCTAAAAACTAGGGGGGCAAAAATGATTGATAAGAAGAGTTAAAGTGGAACTCCAAGTTCAATCTACTTAATGTCTCTATAATTAATGTAATAGCATATAGAGAGACATGGAAGTTTGGGGGGGTTCTGTAAACTTAAGACTGATCTTGGTAAAGATTGTGAAGTCTGCAGAAAGGGGCAAGCCATTAAAACTATTGATGTACAGATACCAGTATCTGTATCGGTGCCTATACTTGGCATTTTCACGAGAACTACCAGGTTCACCTGCGACTGGGCCCTGGCGCTCCACCACTGTCCTTTAAATTGTTAGTCTGTATTGTTTTAGAAAAACTGTCACATGACACTGAAGAAAAAGGTATCTGTAATTGGTGTCTGTGAGTACTTGGACAAGTATCGGTACTTGGTCTGGCAAAAATGTTATCGGTGCATCCCAAATAAAAATCTATATCTCTAATCTATATCTATCTATCTATATCTCGTACATTAAAACAGGGATGCACAAATCCGAGGAGCTCCGTATGCTCCTTTAAAAATGGCAGCTTGAGTTTTTCTCTAGTCTAGTCTTGGAAATGGAAAAGTATCACTACTAAGTACGGTACTTAGTATTTGTGCATCCCTAATTAAAACAAATTCAGGAATAATAGTAGAAATACTTGAGCATGCATCAAGATCCTGATTTAGAGATTGCAGTCTTCCACTGAGCTGAACACTTGCTGAGTTAATTTATTATAAATGTTATCCTCGTCCTTGATGACGTGCTAAATACTTCCTTTCCTCTCCTCATCTGCTCCCAATTTTCTCTTTCAGAATTTAGTCATGTTCATGAGCGACCTTGTAGATTGGATCATCCCAGACATTCCCAAAGACATCAGCCAACAGATTCACAGAGAGAAAGTCCTGATGGTTGAGGTGTTTTTGAAAGAAGAGCAGGGTAAATTACAAATGCTGGAAACGTGGAGAGAACATTACGACAGGAAGAAAGAAGAGAACTGTAACAATCAAAGCCCCAAGCTTTCCCGCAGTAACCGAGGGAGCACAGTGTCTGCTTATTCTCAACGCGTGGATGTGTAAGCGGAAAAACCTGTTTGAGAGACGCACTGTTTTGGGCAGTCATTCCACTGACAGAAATGTCATCAAGAGATGTGACTTTAGAGCCTCTGGAGAGCTCTTGTCTTTGTAGCCTGTGCTGGCTTCCATGTTCTGTGGACAGAGGACCATGATTTCAGATATAGAGCAGATGGAAACTCCTGTTTGGTGACTTGGATAACGTCGCTGACATATGCATGTTCTGTAGTAGCAATAGAATATAATTCGTCTTCATTAGATATCTCGTGCCTTCTGTTGAACATTTTCACACTTTAAGACACTACACCCTGTGACTTTTTTGGGGGGTCCTGAAAAACACTTAAAGCATTAACATCAAGCTGCAACAAGGCCGTCAATTTTAGCAATGGACTAGATGACAGAGACATGACTTCATGGATCCTTGAGCAATGATGGACAGCTATGTGCTGACATTCCTAATGCACATTATTTACAAGGAGCTTCCTACGCTTAAGACACCTGGTACCTTCCTGTAACAGACAATCTGGTTTCTGCAGGGTCTCTTTTTTTATTATCATTATTTTCAGCCTCTACGCTACTCTGCTCCTAATTCTACGAACATGGACGTTTTCTAAATTCAGCTTGGCTGCAGAATTTCCTCCAGCACTAAAGGGTTAAACTTACAGATGAGATATTTTTTTAGACACTACTATGCAATGTAAAGATACCCTCTTCTTTATACGAACCTTTTATACCTATTTATTGATTTAGAGTTTATAGTGAAGCCGATCAATTTCTACTTTTTGGCTCGAGATCCCGGGGAACAAACATCCATGATAAGAATGGTGGGTCACCATTCTGTTTGGTTTTCCCGGGTTAAAATTCAGACGTAATGGTAACTAAAATGTTCAAACCGCTGTTCTGTTTTATGTTGACTTTTTTTTTTGTAATTTATGGTGATTTTAACTCTGTGTATCCCAGATGTTACATGATCTGACTTGAGACTTGACTCTCTTGTGGGTCAATTGCTGTCGTTTTGAAATTAGCGGGAACTCCATGATATACTTTTGGAACTTAAATGTACCTTGCCAAAAAACTTAAGAAGGGCTGGAGCAGTTCAAGGGGTTGCCTGCCAGGAATGTCATGCTATTTTGAGGTGTGGGGATGGTGACTGTATAGCTGGCTGTACAGAGTCTGATGCAACACATGTATTTTTATCTTTTTGCACACATGTAGTCTCCTGAAGCTTCGAGCTGGGAATTTTGGGTGCACATCAAACAGTTTAATGGACAGAAAGCAGGACACATTTCAAACTGCGTTCATCACTCTGCAGTGTTTCATGTCTTGCCAGAGTTTGGGAAATGCCTTGTGTGGGGATAGTCTACCAAAGCTGAAAAAATGAGTCCTGGGATTAACGAGCAACACCACAAAGTGGAGATCTGTGAATTGATAGACAAATTTATTGTTTAAATATCTTGTCACCATGCCTTTTACTTGCTGGTCTAAAGTTCTGGTCCTCACACTTTTGGGACCTCTTGGCTGGTCTCCTTCTGGCTAATGAAGTGTCATCCAAGTTTGTTAGGAACTTCTGACATCTAGCCAGAAAAATACATAAAGCAAAGTACGAAGGCCGTGCCAATAAACTACCACATTGGAGAGGTTATCTGTACACAATACTAGTTTCCTCATGTTCCAGAGATATTCACATATTTAAAGGTTCCCTTAGGGCTAGTTCACATCAGCCCCAGTGGATTCCGGCCCGATTCGTTGCTGGAACGTACTCGCTGCGTTCTGGGTGGGCGGGAGGGTGCGTGGTGGTG